AGTTTGTTCAGCTATACTTTTCGTTTAAAAAATGTATGTTTTATGTCTTTTTCGCGGAATTCTATGACATAAATATCTACATCCCTGTCGGGGCCAGCCAACTTCGACACAACAGTATGATAGGACATAAAATAGATAGTGAGTATGTAGCTACAAATACTTGGGACCCAAGATGGCGTCTTTGTACACTTGACGTCATATTTTCATGACGTCATATGAAATTGTTAAATACACCTTTAACCCCAGCCACCATTCAAACAGATATTGAACTACCTGCAATCCAAGCTGCTACTGTGGAATTTGATGTGGATGTAAAAGGATGTTTTTTTTTTATTTTTCGCAGTGTATTTGGCGTAAAGTCAACCTTAGGACTTGCAGTACAATACAAAGACGATGAAGAAGTTAGGACTTGGATTAGGAGAGTAACAGGTTTAGCATTACTATCAGCCCATTTGGTACAAGAAACCTGGATGTCAATAATAGAGGAAACTCCAAACATCACTAAGGCCGATGAATTTAATGATTACGTTACTAATACTTGGGTAAATTACGACGCCAAATTTCCAATTGCTTTTGGAACCATTTTGAAACTTTTGGACCCAGGACTAATAACAACCTAGAAGGTTTCCACCCAAGACTGAATAAAACCATACCACACCGTCATCCTTGCGTCTACAGATTTATTGGTGCGAACGATCGAAATATGCTGCTCCAAACAGAAAACGGATATATATGGAAATAAACAAACAATAGACTACAAAGACTAAAGACCCAACTTATACATGACGAAACGACACCAATTCAATATTTACTAGTGCTACATGTATATTAATATCATACAAATTGATACAATAGACAATAGAACCAGTGTTTTGTAAATATTATATTTGGACTACAGTGCTTTGGAATTATTACATCTTGCTTTGTTACATATTTCATACAATTTCTATGTAAATTAATTTTTCATTCTTTTTTCTGTTTGTTTTGATATAATCTGTTATACGCAGTAGCCTGAATGGGATATGGAAGAATCTATTTTAGCTATAGAAAGGGTATTATATAAGTAGGGATAATAAAACCACCAGACCGTATAATCTGTTGTTATAAGCTGTAGTCGAAATGGGACACAGTCGAAATGAGAGGATATCTACTACCCAATACCACACCAATATCACCACATACTAGATAAGAGCTGACAATTCTCGCTATAATAGTTAAAAATAGATAATGAAAGGGAATATGTTGAAAATTCAATCAAATTACTTCACTCTGAGCCAAGTTATCACCGTTAGAAAAAATGCGTTGTGTTGATTGTCATTGCTACCGTTGTTACGATAATAAACAAAGTCTCGATTATCCAATTTTCAATTAATTCATTAAATGTTAATCGTATTTAAATCTGCTGAAAATCTCCTGTATCCGATGTCATCTAGAGTTGATTAATAATATGGTCTTGGTAAGTTAATTAATGTCTAATTAATAATTCATGACATTTAAGGCATAAAGAAAAACATGCAATAATAATAAAAAAAAACACTGTTATTTTAAAGTATATAATATACGTCTTTTTTAACCCTTTTAACCAATTGAAGAAACCTGTGTTATATATTATGTATGAATATGGTAATTTTGTGAATAAACATTTTACAATAAAACTGGAGTATCCATTAGAAATGTGAATACATAGACAACCTTTTATATCTTTATATTCACACACAAATACTTACAGAAAGACCATATCTAGTAAACTCAATGACAAAATATAGTAATTTAATGGTTCAAGGTTTCTTATCGTGGAGTAAAGGGTGTTAGACACCTTACCGTTTATTGAGTATAGCTATACCACCTCGGAGCAAGCGGACATTGTGAAATGAATCGTGGGTTAACATCTTACTGCAGGGGCGGATCCAGAGGGGGGGGGGGGCGCTCAGCTACATATTTTTTTTTGTAAATCTACAATTTTTATGAGAAAGGTTTCTCGGCTTTACCGTTGGATGTGGGACCGGATGGGCACTCAAAGCACGAGATAATGATATAGACATTATGTGATATCCCAATTAATGCTTTGCATCCATGAAATTGAATCACAATGTCATTGTATTAATTCATAATAAAATTGACGTCAAACGAGGTGTTGAATTTCTCTGTTTAAAAAGCTCAATGTGTATGTATATACGCCAAAATGACGATAGAGACCATGCGGGAGGGGGGGGGGGAGATACATTGTCTCAGGAACCTGGCAAACTCCCTCCTTCAAAAATTCCTGGATCCGCCCCTGTACTGTTCGGCTCCGACTAGGCTAATAAAGGCGGGTATATACGCTATAAAGTGTGCTATGAGGGACATTTTGCCCCTACAGCGGCAACATGGGCTACTTTTATTTCAAATACCAACTATCAATTGTTCTTTTACATGCACGACAATGTGTACACGCGTGTTTGGCTTTTCGTACCATCAGAACGACGCCCTCTGTTCTGCACCACTGACAAGGGCGAAACACGCCTAAAAATCTCGGCCAACACAAGGATGACACACGGGACCCCCAGGCTAGCAAGCCAACGTTTTACTCACTGAACCACCGCGGCATCGGAAGCGGACGTTAAATAAACCTATGTTCTCTGCAATGCATTTTCCTTAGCACCAGTATGTCTTAAGAGTGGCCAAAAATTTTGCACTTCACATTTTCACCAAATCCATAATGAAATTCAACCACTGACATATTGAAACGAACTGAAATAAATCGGGGTTTAATGTCCTACTTTTCTGCACCGACTGGGCTTATGAAGCCGGAGACATATTGAACCACACGTGCACTTAATAGAAGAAACAAATACAGCAATATGATCATGTTAACATCTCTAGAACCACCACAGTAACTGCATAATATCTGGCACTCCCTTAAAAGGCTAGCATTCGGTGTTCCAAAAGAGTCAACACAGAAACTTAACAAAACTGTCGGGCCAAAGTTGTTTTTTTCTAAGATCTTGTGTTTGTAGATATTAAAGTTCCGATGCGTCATTTTATCGCTATGTAGATTCCCTTGCGAACTACAATATGTGGCGGACGGATCTCTAATCAGAATAGCATTCCAAAATTGGTTCAATTCCGTTCAGTATTTACAAAGGCAGTTAGAATTGACATTTCATTTCCAATAGGAATAACATTCCAAAATGGTTCAATTCCGTTTAACATTTACAAAGTAATTTGGAATTGACGTTCCATCGATCTATGCCGCTCGCTATGCAATAAGCCCACCTCCATGTTGTCCTTGAAACTTTATTGATATGACATTAAAATCCGATTGAATCCAAGTCGGTATATTATTTGGCATTGGTATTTAGGAATTGTTTTATTAATTGTAAATGAATGTTTTATATTAAGGCATGGACCCTGTTTAACAAAAACTTAAAATCGCCATAAACTAAAATTTCATCCTAACTTAAGATAAGTGAGTTTCACAAAACTATTTTAAAGACCACATAAGATAATGAAACTAGAATTTATGGACTTATAGCTAGTGGTTACTATATACACATCAATCCGGTTAAATTTTTTCGACATATTAACGTTTAAGTATCGGATACCCCAAAACGCTTTTCAATTATTCCCTTAATCCTGTTGATTGGCTGGTGACGTCACAGGGACTAAACGTAGTTATATGCACTATCTATACAATATATCACTGTCTACACAATATATCAATATACACACTGCCAGTTGACTGGTGTTTATTGACGATCCCCGGCCGAAATCCCAAAAGTATCAAGTAATCAGACTGATTATCAACTATACACCCAGTTTCATCACTCTCTATCAGATAGCATCAAAGTTATCCTATCCCAAAGTCTCGGCCAATCAAATTGCTTATCGCTCTGCTTACCCTGAACAGAAAATGATCATTAACTGTCAGTTAATCTTTAATGTGTCCCATCTAAACGATGCCAGACTCTTTCGTCCTGCAACACTGTCAAGGGAAACCAGACTGGGAACCAGAAATGTGTGTTTAGTGATCATGAGCTAGCACCATACTTACGTTGCAACTGTGACTCACAGTTTGTTTGTAGTCTGTATTATATTATGCTGTGTCTGCAATTTGTTGTCATGACGAAAGCTGTCTTAACACTAACAGCCCCATGTCTATAATCAGAACTGGACCCAGTTCCGTTATTGGGACTCCTGTCTCCGCAGTCATAGATCCCGAGAAGGGTCTAAAGAGTCCAGGCCCTCACCTAGCCTACTCCAGATCAATTCGGTGGGTCTGGGTCCGAAATGCTTGTTGGGAATGGCGTCTACATAGTTTCATTTTTTTTTCTTCAAATTTTCTGAATGAAGCCACAAAGACATAAATAAATCACAGGCTTCGCGCATTCGGCGCTCATGAATTGTTACTACTACGACACTTTATGGAGATCTGAAATTACTGGTTGCCCCACCCCACTCAGTTCTTCAAAAAATAAAAAGACGACCAAGATCATCACAAGAAAGGGTACACATGATTTATCTTTTAATGTCGCTATGAAGAGAGAAGCCCATTATGTGATTGGGATCTTGGTATCAATTCACCTCTATGCACCACATACTATAGCCTGAATTGATGATTTTATATTATTAAGGTTAAGTTCATTTCAAGCTTTGCTGCCATTTTATGCTGTGGGATCAATCCAAGTATTGCGATATTCATCCTGGGCCTGAGCATTCTCCCACTTCTAAAGACCCAAGGGGATAAGCGACTTATTGAAATAAGAAAGATTATATGATATGTTTGTGGAAAAATCACCTAGCTTCTGCCTTCTACTCGGTGGACGCTATACCTCATCTCTGTAAATCATGCCTTCAATAATTGCAAGCGTCATACAAAGGGGGGTTTGGTTACCTATTTTTAAAAGTATTCACTCTATATTGACCCAGAATGAGAAGTTAAATTAACATATTTTGTAATACAATATTGTCGACCTCAAATTACTACCTGGTTGAAATATTATTAACTAAAACTAGTGATATTAGGTAAAATGTCTTGGCTAGGTAATGGATGTTTAAGTGGGATATATTTATTATTTTTTGTATACTATATGACAGGTAAGAAAAGTATTTTATATAAATTTCATACTTACTTCATACCTGAATTGCCCGAAAAAATTTCGGCTTGCAGACAGCGGTGCTCTCTCGCTCTCGCTCTCTCTCTAAACCTCTAAACGGGTTCGATGAATGTTAGGGGGTGGGGGCCGAACCTGAATTGCCCGAAAACATTTCGAGTTGCAGACGGCTGTGCCGGTCGCCATTGAGAGGCGAAGGAGTGGAGCTCATCGTGTAAGGACCCGCAAACACCTTGGGAAAAATTAGAAACACGTTTTCCCACTATTCCATCCCGTGAATACAACAACTTCAAACTACCACCCAATCTCTTTGTTATCCTGTCTTGGAAAAGTTTGCGAAAAAACTATTTACAACCATATCTTGAATTTTACTGTTATAACACAACGTATTTCCCCTCTTTCAGTCAGGATTTCAACCGGGTAATTGTGCAGTATTTCGGCTATTAGAAATGTATGATTACATTTGGAAAACATTAGATAGTGGTAGAGAAGTAAAATCATCTTTTTTGACATAAGTAAAGCCTTTGACCGCATTTGGTATGACCGTCTTCTACACAAATGTAACGCTATTGGTATCCGAAACGATACTTGAATTGCTAAAAAGTTAACTTTCTGACCGTTTCAAAAAGTAAATGTAGGTGGAAGTTTTTCTAGTAGTTTCTCCCTACTATTCTTAATATTGATTAGGAGGGCTGGATGGCCGAAAGGTTCGCGCGTGCGAGTTGTATCATAAGATCTGTCATTGAGTCAACTGGCGGGGTTTCACACTGACAAGGAGTAGGATCGCCTGTCCGACCTCGTTGTTTCTCTTCGGGTCCTCCGGTTTTCCCCCACTGCTAAAGACCCTAACGCGCAAGCGAATTATTGAAATAAAATTGAACCATATGTTAGTCCCGTTAAACCCCACCTCTGGTCAAAAGCATGGAAGGCCTATTTTAATACAGTAAAAACCAGAAGTTTAACTTTTTCCAGTAAAACCGTCCCATCAGATTTTAACCCCACTTTTAACAATGTGCCGATTATTGATAACACCTCGGTGTCGTTTTTAACTCAAAATCTAACTGAGCAGATCATATTGAGTATTTAACGTCAAAACCCAGCAAACGGATAAACTGTTTTAAATCCCTCAAATATAGGTTAAATCGCAAAGCCTTAAGAATTATCCACAAATCATTCATTTTATCGATTTTTGATTATGCCGAGATTCTATGGGATAACTGTTCGTTTGAGCAAACTACAAAGTTAGAATAACTGCATTTAGATGGCTTAAGAACTATAACTGGTCTCCAAAGGGGACCTCACATAGCATCCTGTATGACGAGACTGGGATTTGTTCACTGAAATCTCGCCTAACACAACCTGCAATGTAAATCAAATCTTTACCAAAAAATCATTTTATCCTTCATCAATAAAATTATGGAATAGTCTAGATACTGATATATCTGATTTCCATTCGTTGCCCCTTTTTCAAAAACAAAATTCGGTTACAGTTTTCAATCCCTTGTAAACTTTTCATGTGATACATTGTAAACTTCGTAATTGCATGAGTGATCTCAGTTTACACAAATTTCTAATGCAAGTAAGTAATAACCTTATGTGTAGTTGTGGTGAATCTGTTGAAAATTGCGATCATTTTATCTTTCATTGTCAACCTATTCATTGTCCAAAGATCAGTAACTATCGATACTCTGGACCCTATTTTTAGAAATTCGAAGGATGAACCTGCAAATCTAAATCATGCTGCTTTTGATAAACTGAATAGATACATTGAGTTAACTCATCGGTTTAAAGGGTAGTCTCTGTCACTTGATTACTTGATCTCACTCACTCTATGAAACCCCAATTTGACCATTATTTTGCATCTCGGAACTTCAGGTATTAAAGTGGATGTAAGTTACCTGATGTTTTGTTATCATCAATATCACACCCCATTCCTTCATTACCTGGATAACATAGGTAGATTTTCGGACGTTGAAACTTCCAATTTTAAAAACTATTCACTCCTTTATTGATGATCGACAACTCACTTTCACTTTTTATTTTTTTATTTTTATAGTTCTTTGTATTTATTTAGCATAAATGTTCAAACTACCGTTCTTTAATGTACTCTCACTTTCACCGATTTAAAATAACCACCATCCGATGATGCGATTACCATAAGCATGCTACTTGTTGTTCTCAACCTTTTTTTGCCAACGTCACACCTTGGAACACATGAAAAATAGCGTCACCTGGCTAAATATATATGACAAATATTTGAATTTTGCAAAATAAAAAATATAGTCAGTCAGACGTCATACAACCGTAGACAGAGATTAGTCATAGACACATAGAATGACTCAAACTAAATAAAGAAAAACACAGCTATGAAGTTACCAGTAGACACCGGTGAATACTCAATTGGGATCACATGGTTTTTCGCATTTTCTTAAGTGTGCCGTCCACAATTTAGCGGCACACTTAGGAAGATCTCGTGGCACACCTGTGTGCCGCGGCACACTGGTTGAGAATCACTGCTTTAGACTGTACAATTGTAGGATTATATGTAATTATATTGAATAAAATAATGCTTAAACCAATTACAAACTATTAGATAAAGATCTTGCCCATAAATAATAACAACACATTAATCTCTTCATGTGTACTTTTGTCTGCAATGTGAATTGGTGGGTGTGTGAGCCTTTGAATTTATACTGCCTCCATCAAGGTTGATCCTATTTTATTGATCTTTGCTGAGTTCATTTAAATACAATCCATGGGGAGGTAATGTGAAATTTGTGGGGCGTGATACATAATTGTTATTTTAGTTTTCGTCTAAGAAAATAATGCGGGAATGTAATAGCCCGATCAGACGCTTATATGGAACTGGTTTAAAAACCCCGGCTATAGTTAAACCAGTTTAACTTTGTCGTCTGAACGCAAACGTGGGGTAAATAAACCAGTTTAAATAAAAACCACAGCTCGCGACCTGTATTCGAGAAGGCTTTTTATTTTAAACTGGTTCACCTTGGCCGTCTGAACGGGTTAGCTTAAAAAAAGGGCTCCAACTAGCTTTGGACATGCGCAGTACGCACTAAGTTACATTCCTGGGAAAATGGTGGCGTCATGCCGTGCCAGTGTTATCGAAAGCGGCAATGATATTAATAATAATCGAATTGTACTGATGAGGAAACACATTTTCTCATTTCTGTGTGTGGAGATAGGACACCATCCATATCTATTTCAAAGTAATGCCATTTGAGAATATAATGCCGTACATGCAACATTTCCTTTCCAGAATCGACAAATGTTTGCTTCGACACACGTAAGCATTTTACATTAATCCCCGTTTTCTCATTTTATATTTTTCTATCTATCTATCTATCATGAAAATGCTTACAAAAAGTCCACAGATATGTGCAAGAACCAAGTAAAGAATATGAAGCTACCCATGCGTAGTTACCTATAACCTCCGACCGAAGAGGTCAGAATAGTTAAACTGATTTGGCCTATACTAGGTGAACGCAACATGATCCCGTTTTAAAATCCCTGGCGATATCCAGCTGGCTTAAAAATAAGCGTCTGAACGGGGTATACACAAGGTATAGCTTCAGGAACGAGGCTATTTGTATAACGTAGATGCGCGTTTATTTGTTTACTAGCAAATATTTTGCAAGTTTGTCGAATTTCAGTAATTGTAATGATGAATTTCAAATGCCAAAGCTAAAAAATCTCGGATGAAATTTCGAATAAATTATGACCCGAAGCTCAAATATATTTCCCATGAAATAATATTAACCAGTACATAATAACACGGTGACTTTACAGGTGAATATAATGACCATAATAATATTTACATCTGTCAACTTATTATTCAACTTTTAAAATAAAAAAACTTCATAATGACACAACAAATAATTGAAAGGCTATATTATATAACTTGATCCAAGTATAACATTCACTAATAGCCTATACTCTATCCCATAGTTCAGTTTACATCCGTCATTATGACCCGAAGCTCAAATATATTTCCCATGAAATAATATTAACCAGTACATAATAACACGGTGACTTTACAGGTGAATATAATGACCATAATAATATTTACATCTGTCAACTTATTATTCAACTTTTAAAATAAAAAAACTTCATAATGACACAACAAATAATTGAAAGGCTATATTATATAACTTGATCCAAGTATAACATTCACTAATAGCCTATACTCTATCCCATAGTTCAGTTTACATCCGTCATTAAAATATTATAAGTCGTGACTTCATTTTGGAATTCAATCACCTACCTGTGTGTGAAAGGGCTTATTTAAACTCGAGTCATGCATACAAGTCGTGACAGATTGAATACAATTATCAAACCATGATAAAACCATAATAATTGTCTTCCTTGTTGAGAAATGGTAGTAACTGGTATTATATAACTTTGTCGCATTTAGCCAATGTTCGATCTATGAAATGGCTTGTTTGGGTATTCGAAGCTTTGGCACACTATTTTTATTGTTTTGTTTCTATTATCTGACAGGTAAGAAACTATGAAATATTTTAAGCACCATATCTTTGAATTACTATGTTAAAATGCTTTATTCTTACCATTACATGTACTTGTTATCTTCGTGTCCATACACGAGTGTGGTACACATATTACGTACGTAGGACAATCTAAAACTTAATCAACGACATTAAAAAGAAAATAAAGTTAAAGGTTAATACAATATACACCCATAATACAAGGATAACTTGGGAAGTTACCATGTTTGTTTCTCAAAATATTTCATGATATTTTTGTAATCAATTACTTCAACATGATATACTTTAGGGAATTACGTGTACTTTTTTTACATATCATGTATGGGTTTTCTTATTTATTGTAAAAGATATTTGATCTTATTCTGATTTAAAGGTAATTTTTATAACAGGTAGATATGGTGGTTACTGTCAAGTATGCAGCACTGGATGTCTAAATGCTGCATGTGATAACTCCACTGGTAACTGTACAGATGGCTGTATACAAGGCAGATATGGTACCAGCTGTGAATCATCATGTATAGTTACTAACTGTACAGGTAACTGTGATAGGAACACAGGACAATGTTCTAACTGTACACGGGGTTACTATGGTATGAACTGTCAACAGAGATGTAATGAGGGTTGTATAAACAGTTACTGTAACAAAGATTCTGGTGGCTGTAGAGACGGATGTAGATTAGGTTTTACTGGTACTAACTGTCAATCAGCATGTATAGTTACTAACTGTATAGGTAACTGTGATAGGAAAACAGGACAATGTTCTAACTGTACACAAGGTTATCATGGTGCCAACTGTCAGTCAACATGTACAGTTACTAACTGTAACGGTAACTGTGATAGGAATACAGGACAATGCTCTAGCTGTACACAAGGTCATCGTGGTACCAACTGTGAACAGTCCTGTAACAGTGGATGTATAGACAACTATTGTAATAAAGATAATGGTAACTGTACACGAGGTTGTATAAAAGAACGCCATGGCCCAACTTGTGCATCAACATGTACTATAACTAACTGTATTGATAACAACTGTGAACGGGATACGGGGGAATGTTCTGTCTGTAAAAAAGATTACTATGGCACCAACTGTGAACAGTCCTGTAACAGTGGATGTATAGACAACTATTGTAATAAAGATAATGGTAACTGTACACGAGGTTGTATAAAAGAACGCCATGGCCCAACTTGTGCATCAACATGTACTATAACTAACTGTATTGATAACAACTGTGAACGGGATACGGGGGAATGTTCTGTCTGTAAAAAAGATTACTATGGCACCAACTGTGAACAGTCCTGTAACAGTGGATGTATAGACAAATATTGTAATAAAGATACTGGTGACTGTGCCTATGGTTGTACTAACGGAACATATGGTCCCAATTGTGCATCCACATGTGTAGTAACTAATTGTCCAGATAATTGTGACCGGAATACTGGACTGTGTAGTGCATGTAAACAAGGATTCTTTGGTCCAAACTGCCAATTACCCTGCTCGGATGAATGCATTGGGGGTTGTGATAATGTCACTGGTACTTGTACTAAATGTAAACCTGAAAGAGTTGGACCATACTGTAACATGTCATGTGGATCTGGATGTGTCCAAATTGAAGCGAAGTTTACAGAAAATTGTTATAGAAATGGAACATGTAATACCTGTATTGAAGGAAGACATGGTGATAGATGTGATCTGAAATGTAGTACAGGATGTGTGTCTGGATGTCGACAAATCGATGGAAGATGCAACAATTGTATCAGAGGTAATTGAAATATCATCTTCCAGGTGGTCGTTCAGGAATTATTTGTTTATTTCAATTTGATAAACAAAGAATATTTTGTTGTATGTACCCCCTCAGACTATTTCCGCCCATTAAGCCTCCATTAACAAGGTCCCCTCATACTTATTTTGATACTCCGGTGGGAAAAAACACAGAGTTCCCGTGTACAAACTCGCGTGAACGTAAAAGATCCATTGACGGGTGGAATTTAGAATAGGCCGCAGTACCGCTGTCCAGGCAAATATTTTCCCCATAGCACACTGCATATGGTGTACTCCCGTTTTCATTAGTCCAGTCGTGGCAGAACAGAAGGACGTTAAACTTCATTTCATTTCATATTTATATTAGGTAAAAGTGGATCGACGTGTAATAGAAACTGTGGTAGTTATTGTACTGCCTGTCAACAAGATGATCACAACCATTGTTCAGAATGTGTACCAGGGAAGACAAGTATTAATTGTACGGCAGGTAAATATATATTATGTTAATTGTTTATATGATTATTTGAGATGATCTGTAGTGGTTTATATGATTATTATTTGTCCTTATGATTCATATATATATTACTTATCATGTAATATTCTAGATCGGGAGCCGCGATGGCTCAGTGAGTAGGACGCCGGGTCGCTAACCAGGAAGTCTCTGGTTCGCTGTCGGTGCTGGCCGAGAAAGTTCCTCGGTTTTTATCCGGGGCGGATTAGCCTTGTCAGTGGTACAGGACGGAGGGTTTAGTCGTGTAGAAATTGGCGTGCATGTAAAAGAGCGCTTGACAGTTGGAACTCGAAAATAGAGTAGGCCGTACAAGCGCCGCTGTCCGGGCAAAATTTCCCCATAGCACATTGTATGGCGTAAACCCATCTTCATTTTCCAAGTCGGTGCAGAAAAGTAAGACGTTAAATCCATTTTCATTTTATTTCATCATTCAAGATTTTTGCTTATAATATTCACTGAATTACCGACCCTTGCCGCAAGAGGGGGGTGTCCCAACTGTATAGCTCACTTTGTTTGAAAAACACCGCCGTCGGCAAGTCAAGTTCACGATCTGTTAAAATGTCACGGGACGGGAAAGTAAACCCTTTGCAAATTTCTGAAGGCGGTAGAGATAATGGTTCACCCCCCAAAAAATAAGCCAAATGGTAAATAAAAACATGTCTTTAGATATTATTGGATCCCTAACTACGTTAAAAAAAATTCTTTATTTTTGTTTGTTTTTATTTTTCAATTCGCTATTTACCTACAGAGTGTTGCTGTTTAGTTTTGGCGATTTTATATCCTGTGTTAGGCAAGATAAGAATACAACCCGTATTTTCTTTCAATTTTGCAAGGTTCCAAAAATCTTCGTTGAATTGCCTAAGACAAGTGTTGCCTAGTAGGAAAATTAACAAATTGTTTCGTATTTTAAATTTGCTACCGGGAATTAGTCGAAACTGTTCGAGACTATTGGCTTTTAGGGTTAAGGGGAAAGAAATATTTTTAATTTGTTTAGGAGTTGACCGACGGACTCTTTTTAATTCGTTGTCAATCGATTCAATTGGCAGGAATGCCGCTCAACGATAAATTACTATCCAGCATTGGCTTGGGCGATCACTATGATCCCGATACAATAACCAAACTTCCCTTTGCAAGAGTTACAATAGGCTAGTACTAGGCATTATTAATGAATTTCCGACCAATACGGAGCACCAGTCTTTAAAATTATATGACGATTTTATACTGCACACATAAATATATATGATTTAAGGATGTCGTAATAGACGAAATACCGTTACGAAAGAAGATCTGTCATACAGGCATATTGAACATAGCCCCAAATAGGAACAGAATGTATAAAAGTGTGTTATGGGGCGAAGTGTGATATGGGTTGAAGGTGGCGTTAATATTCTGTGTTTAAGATTAAGTAAATATGTTAATAAGGTGCATATTATATATCATTGTCTTAGTTTTGATATTCCTAAACTGATCCCTGGGTGCCTACAATACGTACATATAAAGGCAAAATGGTAATTCAGAGGAAAGTATACTATTCACTGAATTACCGGCCCTTGCCGCAAGATGGAAGTGTCCCAACTGTATTGCTCACTTTGTCTGAAACACTAAGTACAGTGCAAGAAGTGGTAGTTCCTGCAGTCCACTTAAAGCCTTGTTTACGAATTTTTACAAGTTAAAAACAAAAAGAAAACAAAAGTTTGTGTTTTTTGCCTGTAGGAAACCTCACAGTGGAAGCAATGTGCCTACAATACTTAAATGTATAGGCAAGACGGTAAGTCAGAGGAAAGTATACTATTAGTGTAAATTATGCTATTATTCTGATAATCCGTACTGTGTAAAATGTTTATATTATTATCCCGATGATATGTATAGTGTAAATTGTTTATATTATTATTTTAGATTGTCCTGCAGGTCTGTATGGTATGGGGTGTAAAAATAAATGCGGTAACTGTGCTAACAATACACCATGTCATGTTGTTAATGGAGAATGTGGAACAGTTGGCTGTTTGCCAGATTTTACTGGAACAACATGTCAACAACTAAGATCAACAGCTGACATAGGTACACATAATTTATACATAAAAACCTCGAAGAACTACATATACCAAAATAAATAACCCAAAGAAACAAAATATAATTAAAAAAATAAAAAATTTCTGTAATTTGTCTCGGGATATTTCTTGGCAGTTGGAGTTTGATATAAGAGTAGGTCACAGTGCCCAGACAAAATTTCCCTCATAGCACACTGTATGGCGTATTCCCGTCTTCATTAGCCCAGTAGGAGCAGAACAGTAGGACGTTAATCCTCATTTTATTTCATGTGTCAGATTCCATGCACTTTACGGACATTAACGATGGCGTAACGGTGTATAGAAACTGGAGGCTTTTCAATTGGAGTATTGCCAACCAAAGAGATGGCCATAGAGAATTCAAGGTTACCTACGTAGACCGACCAGATCTGGTCAAGAACAAAAATGAAATGTAATGGGGTTTAGCTTCCTACCTTTCTGCTTGGTGAAGATCAGAGAAATAAGGACCCTGTCATATCAAACTTGATCCAGACTAGGAATGATAGGTGAAATAAATTTTGTGAGGATGAGGATCTTAGAAATCTTGTATGGTGTCAAGATGGATGGTAGTTCCTACAAGATCAGCGTAATCGGCGGCAAAGGGTTTGCGAAAGGTTTGTTGACACACAATAAAAATTCTATTGTCAGCTGGTTGATTTCGCCCTTCTTTCCTAGTCTGGAACAAGTCTGATAGAATTACGGCCTTAGTTCTCTGATCTTGACCAATTCTGGTTTGTCTACGTAGGTGTCTTCAATTTTCTTTTTGGTTGGCAATATTCCACTTGAAACGCCTGCAGATTCCACACACCGTCGATCTGTTAGGTCTTTCCTGGCCTGAGTACGGATTGACGTTTTCGATAAGCTATACATGGTTTGGGGTTACACATAGGATCACATCACTAGTAGTACACTCTGAATACACTGATTACATTTAGGAGTTCACAATGTTTACTCCAATGTGCGAAAGGTACATGGAATGGGACAACCGCAGTGCGTATACATGTACATCATATTGGCATTTTAAGCGCCGAATTTGGGCTTTTTTATGTTGTTATTATATGAAGTCATATTACACATACTTGATTACGTATGACTTTGTACAAAATGGCAGCCATGTTATGTCCACCATCTTGAATTTCCGCTAAATTGGATGGTCAAAATTAGTATTAAATTTAGATCCAGGCTATGCAGCATCGAAAACCTATAAAAAGACATTTTACAACCCATATATACCATACAAGCATGGAGTTCGGACAAAAGGGGAGCCATATTGGTCGCTTTTTTGAATATCCGCCATACTTAATTGTTGAAAATCATTTCGAAGTCAATAATCAGATTCGTTATCATGAGAAACCTGTAAAATGAGAGTATACAAGGTATCCTTGCGGGTGACAAAATCGGCATTCTTGGGCATAAGTAGGGGCGAGAACTTTCAGGGAGGTGGGGGGGGGTATAGTTAGGACTCATGTTTCTGGGAGGTCCTCCACCCCTCCCACCACCACGAGTTGTAGTTGTAATCAGTGTTTTTTTGCATGTATATTTCAGAAGGGGTAAGCCCTGCTGTTGGTGGTGTTATTGGCGCTGTGTTTGGAATAGCTGTAACCAGTATTGTCTGTATTGTAGGCGTATTCTTCTATATCAAAAGGTATATACTATAACGAAAAGTATCCCTATCCTATAATACAATGGATACACCCCTCCACCCGCAATCACCAGATTTTACATGGTAAAGAATAGGCAGTAATTGGGGTGTTAAGTTGATATCCTACCAAACTAACGAACATAATTTAGTATATATAAATGGTTATAGTTAACTGTTCAAAAACTAACGTAGATATGATATTAACTTAATGATATCTTTTGCAGCGCAGTGATAATTTTGTTAATTTCAGAAAATATCCAGTCACGCAATCGTCAACTGAAGCAGGTTCATGCCAATTGACCACTCGGCCTCAAGCAAGAAAAACCCCAAAGAAATCAGAAAATTGTCCTTACGATTCAGCAAAACGTGGATCACGTAAAGACGATCGGCCATATGAAAACTTGAATAAAGCGTCAACTTCAAACCAACCACGCGATGAGACATATGTTAATTCGGAGTCTGCTCGAAAGCAGGAGGCAAATCCATACGTTAATGTAAATAAAGCCTGATCAAAATAGTCTAATGTGTAAAATTATCCCCTTTATTTTTAATACTACACTTTGCTGTTTATGTAATTATATCATTATATACTAAGCAGCAAAAGAAACGTTAGGTTGGTATGTTACTCTGAATAGACGCAATGCATAAAACTTGCCAAATGTTTTTATTGTATATTTGTGACCACATCTCCAGCTTTACTTGAGCAATATGGCTCCTTCCCAAACAGAATTGAACCCAGGAAATGTTCTCAAAAACGCAACCTGACTTCTCAGATGGTAATGTGTTGTCCATGATTTCCATGTAACCCATGCTGCACGAGATGTTCACCGGGACCAGTCCTATAAAATACACCCATATACCTGGTTGAATCATTCACACTACAACGTCAACAGCTCAGAGGAACCAGGCGATTGGAAGACTCGACGCTGACCACACTGCCCAAGGCGTTGGCAATTACTTCCAGGTCAATGTTCGGACCATCTACAGACTTCAGCAACGCTTTCGGCCCACCAATACCACGGATGATCGTCACCAAACTCGTAGACCAAGGGTCACAACAAGGCGACAAGACCGCCGTGTTGTGCGACATCACGTGCAGAATCCCTTCACACAGGCATCTGAGACAGCACGTCAGACAGTGGGAACACACGGACGACCCATCAGTACCGATACAGTGCGCCAACGTCTCACTAGAGAGAACATCCTTTGCCGTACATCTTACCATGGACCGATCCTCACCCCTCGCCATCGACGCGAACGTCTACACTTTGCCCAACAACACCAGAACTGGCGACACAAGCAATGGAGAAATGTTCTGTTCACAGATGAGAGTCGGTATTGCGTATCAACTGCAGATGGCAGGACCAGAATATGGCGTCGACGTGGCCAGCGTTTTTCTGACCAATGTGTCATGGAACGAGACATATGGGGAGGTCCAAGAATAATGGTTTGGGGTGGAATCGGCCTGAATCGGAAAGGGGGTCCTGTGGTGTACAAAACTCTTAGTTCACGGAGAGTAGGCGGCATCACAGCAGTGCGCTACATCGATCAAGCTCTCAGACCACACTTCATACCACATTTCGCGCGTCATCGAAACAACGTTTTCCAGCATGACAACGCCCGTGCCCACACCGCCAGAGTTACTTGGACTCGGGACTTTTTACAGCAGCACGGTGTCAACGTTATGCACTAGCCAGCCCTTAGTCCGGACTTAAACCCGATTGAACATCTTTGGGATGAAATTCAGAGGAGACGTAATAACGTCATACCGAGACCAAACACAGTCGATGGATTGCGCCAGGCTTTTCTGAGAGTGTGATTCAGGTGGCGTTCATCAGTCGTCTGGTCCATTCCATGTACAGACGCTGCGCTGCTGTTATTGACACTCGCGGTGGACACACCAGATACTGATGTATAGACTGCGTACAGACTCTAACCCCTTTCGTAATGTCATGGAATTATGATGAATTAATCACTAATGTGTCAACATACTGTTCACAAAAAACTGCTTTGATCCATTTAGTAAGTCGTTTTCTAGAATGATTTGACTAAAGTCCCTCTCTGATTTTCAAATCGTACTGACGGTTTTTTTTTTTTGCTGTTTAGTATATTATGGCTTCTTTTCTTTTTTGAATATAACTTGCATCCGATAAAATTGAAATTTTCTAGCGATATAAATGCAGAAGGCTACTAGTTTCTAAATGTTGCATTTGTTCAATTTTTGAGTTGTGGCTTTGTTGCGAAACGTTTTAAACTATTGTTTTCATAGAATGGATAGCTACATAATATTAATAAGGAGTAATTGACTTTTAACTTTCGGTAGATAGATTACAATGCTCCTTTGTTACGATATCCTTAGAGGCTACAAACGTCATCCGATATATTTCTTTTTTAATTGTGGGCCGAAAGCTTCTCTAATTAATAATATAATTTTACGGGGTTAGTTGACTTTCAACCATTTATAACATTCACTACTGTGTTATGTTCCTTTATTGTAAGCCTATCAACAATTTGAAATTCATTATAATTGTCTTACTGGGATGAAGCTCACTGATTTCGAATTGGTTTTACTTTTTATTATATAACTTTTTATTATATAACTTTTTATTATAACTTTTTATTATATAACTTTTTATTATAACTTTTTATTATAGAACTTTTTATTATATAACGTTTTATTATATAACTTTTTATTGGGATAATTATGCGATGTTTCGTCATATTTGACAAATCCGTAGCAATTATGTTTCAAGGCAAATATGAATGTACAATTTATATTGATATTTACGCTGACATTTATAACTATTTGATTTTATGAAATTAGCCATGATTTTAAAGTTGTATTATAGCTGAGGCCAATTCGTTTACTATTTTTATATCAATTGCTATTTTCAAGGCTTAAATAAGTTGATTTGTGTACTAATATGTAGCAAGTAAGTCAGTTATCCGGTGTTGGAGTGGTATATGAAAATAAATCCTACACATTTGTTACTGTACTTGCTTGAAAACGTTGAGAGAATACTCTTCGAAACGTCGCCCAAATAAATCAGTAATTGTTCTTCCATAAGTATGTGTAATAGTTTATTGCTCTATCCAGTTACTAAATGCCTCTAAAAGATCAAAATAAATCCTGTTGGGACTTTTATATGGTTTTGAATTCTGGAAGAACACACAGAAACCGTTGAAAATATATGGTCACAGACAATGTATTTTTTTAACCTATTACAAAATTGTATACACCCACTGTTTAACGCAGTTGTATATTGCAGTCACCTCTGTCTGCCCGTCTGTCCTTTCGACGGGATTTCGTTCACATTTCTTGTAGAGACTACAATAACTCATAGATTTTTTTAAAAAAATTTTATGGGTTGTCTAGTCTATCTCATTGAAATGAAAATCGAATCGTATTGATTTTCAATAATTTATGATAATCACCTTCAGATCTCTGCTCCTCTGTTACCAAATTTGTTAGGCTGCAACTATTATTCTTCTTATTATGTATAAGGTGTGACTGTCATATTACTAGCACCGCCTTTGTTAATTTGTTATGAGTTTATGTTTTAGCTAATAAAATTTGGACGACCCAGATACTGGTTTGGTATTATGTTTTTAGTTGCAATGTATGTTTTGTAGTAAAAGGTAACAGTATATTCCACCAGATGTAGTTTTTAAACTATGTGATAGGTATTTTAAATAAACATACCAACAATTGTGCGAGCGTAGTGCTTATGGCATCTATAATGAGCAAAGTTCGTTTATGTCTTCAAGATAAGCCAAGTCCACGTAAACCATCACTCTGAGTGTTTTCCCATTTTGATTCTTGTAAATCCCATAAATCCGACCTCAGTTGGTGTGCTAAAGTTTAATACCAGAAATAGAAATACAGATGAAGGTTGGGGTTGAATTAAATCTTATTTAGAGGTTGCTATAATGTTAAAATATCAAACCATCAAATGAGTTTTCCATAAATACTCTCCTCTGTAACACAAGCAAAAAAGTGATAAATTAATTTTGATTAAAACCGGAAGTGATGTACATGGTTCAACGCGCTCACTGATCTCAATAGTAAGCATACAGATTTGGCATACGTTTGCTGCTCTATTTGGTTCACGCGTCGTCGTTTGGATGAGAATCCGACCAAAGGGACTGTTTATTTCGACATTATAAATATATGGAATTATGTTGGGGATTTTTAACGGTTAATACACAAATCCGACGCGTACATTCGCCCATATTGAACAGTACGTTGTGGACCAATTCAGGCCACGCGGATAATTAGGTTTACATAACGTGGTTTGACACCCGGCAAGTGAGAGATATTTGGCCTGCTTGAATGTTGTCGTGCGTGCTGAGTCTGCTGACAGTGTTTGTATTTATTTGCATAAATTTCCAAAGTATGTCAACGCCAGACACCAACGTATCGGAATTTGAGATATCTCTTTAATAGGTCTACAGTAATGTCGTATACAGATTCAAGCCCAGCCATTCTCAAGTAGAAATGGATGAAAAAAGGAAAAGTCGTTCACGTCGGCATTATGTGCCAAAATGCTATATTATAGGTCTCGCATGCCAATACTTTTGGCCTGTTTATGTTGAAAAACACTGTCAGCAAGCACAAAAACATCGAAGCAGACGAAATAGATGTCACTTGCAAGCTGTCAAACAAACCACGTGATGATTGCAAACAATAAGTCCTGTGGTGTGAATTGGGTCACAGCGTACTGTTCAGTATGGCTGAATTTACGCGTCGACTCTGTGCACTAAATTCGTTTTTCTAATATCCTAGCTAATAAACAACACTTTTGATCAGGTTTTAGGTCAAACGATGACGCGTGAACAAATACAGCGGTACACTTATGCCAAATCTGTATGCTTACTATAATTATGGAAACTTTGTTGAATAACGTTGGTCTTCCCCTTTTAGTAACCGTTGTTCCTAAACTCGCGGACAAAATTGGCACTCTGCCTAACAGGGGCACCATGATGACCGATGATCAGAATGGGAATTCTTAAGTTGCACATCCCCTGGGTTTAGGGACTGTACGCCCCCGAAATCGCAGAAAAAGTCGATTTAATTCAAATTTTTGCTGACAAAGTTAATCTTTGCTACATATGTTCAAAGGCAAACTTTAAAAGTGCCCTTCAGAACAAAAAATCCCATGGCTTCTGGCTTCAGAACGCCCCCTAGTGACCCGAGTACGTAGATTTATTTCAAATATGACGGACAACTTTGATTCCTTTTTCAGCTGATATGGTATGATCCCAAAATAAATAAAATACAACTTCAGAACGAATAATCCCCTGGGTTCCTACTCCAGAATGGGTTCCAAGCTGAACACATCACAAAATCCCGGTAGAACTAGTAGAAGACTGTTTCTTTTCAAGTATAGCGGACAAAATTATTCTTTCGTGAGAATGGTGCCACAGTTGACCTATAAATAAAAAATGCCCTTCAGAAGAAAATATCACCTTGCTTCTGTACTTCAGAACGCCCCCTACTGACACCAATAAAGAGGTTTATTTCAAATATGACGGCCAACTTTTATTCGTGTTTCAGCTGATAGGTTATGGCCCCAAAGTAAATAAAACACCAAGTTTCTCTCCATTTGCACGGCCATTTTGCTTTATCGTTTTTGGTCGAGATTCAATGAAGACGATTTGAATTGATCTTGTGGCTTAGAGGTTGTAGGATAATAGGTAATTTGGGTTATTATTCGCTTATTATGTGTGATATAAGGAAGCAAATGGAACATCCGGAGATCGGTAATCGCATTTGAAGTACATATGGCTCGGGGCCATTACCAATAAATGAATGAAACAGGGCTTAGCGTCCTACTCATATAGGGCAGTGTACATGGATGCGAGGAGCAAGGTGGCTTTTCAACTGCTAGGGGGTGTCGTGTTTATCAAACTATCCAAATGTTTTTCGGACAACTAGTTTCATTATTATAGCAATCGTTGTGAAACTAAATCGGAGAGATTTCGATTTGAGAGTTTTTACGTATATTTAAAACAGGTTTCGAAGTGTTTGGGTCCTGTTATGCAGGATCTTTTACGATGTTCAAAGTAAACGTGCCGTGCTAAGACCACCTAAAGATAAATTTTAAATGTTCTTATTATTAATTAGAACCGGTTTCGCTTTGGTAGTTTTTATATTTAAATCGTCCTTGTGCAAAAACAGAAAATTTGAACTTTTGACCTCCGGGGTCACAAAGAACAAAGGTTAATTTAGCAAGTTTACATTTTTATTAAAAGAGTGATTACATTCGATCATTTACAGCATGTTTTCATGATACACGAATGGCTGCGCATTCACTTTTAGTGTAAATAACTTCATTTGACTTTTGACCTCAAATACCTCCACAACATCCCAACGACGGACTGATTACCAACCGGCAACGTACTCTACGCAAAATTTTACTATAGAAAAGTTGGTTCCGGTTTTGTGCCCATTTGATGGAACACCCACCCCCCCTCCCCACACACACACACATACACACCCATACACACACATACCCCACACAGAGCCTCTGGTCTATAATATACTATGGTGTTGTCATCTCTAAGGTGTATGAAAGCAACTTTTGTATATCACCAATTTCTGCTTTTTGCAAAATCATCTGCTATACTAAGGAAGTTGGGTGACCGAATGGTCTATACGAGTATATTTCATTGATTCGTGTGGCGTGTATATACAGATTATAGTGTGTTAATGCTGTTCAACAACTGTCCGAAATCCTACGAGATTCTGCTATGTCTATGATCGTTAAACCTGCTATTAGTATGAAAATTCAACAACCAAAATGGTGGAATGATGAGTGTTCGGAATTAAAGCTACAGAAATACAGACTTCTAGATATTTTTCGAATCACAAACTTAGAAGACGATCTGTTAATGTATAAAAAAGTCAAAAGTAGATTCAAACTCGCGTGCACAAAAAGTCAAAAGGAACAAACTGAGCGTAAATCGAATGAGGTGATTCAAAGTAATGGTGAAGATTTATGGAAGAGCGTCAGGAACTTTTTGAAACGCAGTGATCGTAAGCCAAATATATCGGCCGATGATTGGTACTCGTACTTTAAAGACTTATTAAATTCGAGTCATTTTGAGACAGATGAACGCTTCAGTGAACTTGCTACTGAGACAGTTAGAAATCACATTCCGGTTTTCGATGAAATCTTAGACTCAGAAATCACAGCTGCAGAGATACGCAAGGCAGCGAATGATTTACCATCATCGAAAGCACCAGGCCCCGATGGCATCGTAAATGAAATGATCAAGCATGCTATAGACGTTCTGTTACCATTTCTCTTGCTACTGTTCAATCAAATTTTAAATTGTGGTCATTTTCCCGTAGACTGGGGAACAGCAGTTATCCATCCCATACTAAATTCCGGAAGTGTAGATGAACCTGGTGATTATCGTGGAATATCTTTGATATCAGTAATTGGTAAATTATTCATAAAAATCTTGAAAACCAGATTAACGACCTGGTGTTTAATTAATGATAAATTATATGAAGCTCAGGGGGGATATAGGAAGGGTTATATCACTACTGATCAGATTTTTACGTTACAGGCACTCGTACAAAAATACCTCACAAAATCTAGAGGGCGTTTTTACGTAATTTTTGTCGATTTTTGCCGGGCCTTTGATGGAATTCAACACCATATTTTACAATATGTACTGCTAAACAATGGCGTAAGGGGGAAGTTATTTAGTGTGATACAATCTATGTATCAACACCTTGAATCTTGTGTTCAAACTAACAACACAACAGTTACCGAATTCTTCAAATGTAACATAGGAACTCGACAAGGATGTATGATCAGCCCATTGTTGTTCACATTATTTTTAAACGAATTAATTTGCATGTTAGATGAGTCTGATTGTCATGGGATATTTATTAACTCTGATATTAAAGAAATATTATCATTACTTTACGCAGATGATATTGCTGTGGTAGGGGACACTGTTCCTAGATTACAATCTCAAATAAACTGCATCCAAACATTTTGCAAGAAATATGGGATGCAAATTAACTTAAGCAAAACAAAGGTCGTCGTGTTTAGACGAGGTGGAATTGTCAAGTCGTATGAGAAATGGTTTCTCGATGGCACAGAAATTGAGACGGTAAATGGCTATAAATATTTGGGTATATTTTTCACTTCAAAACTATGTTGGACCCTTGCGACAGACACCCTTGCACAGCAGGCCAGGAAGGCCTCCAATATGTTAACATATTATATCAAAAAGAACAATATTAGTATTAAAAATTCATTATTTTTATTCGATCGAATGATCGTACCAATATTAGAATATGCTTCTGCGATTTGGGGTTTTAGAAAATATGAATCGATAGAAAAGGTGCAGTTAAGGTTTCTGAAATCTATATTACACGTTAGTTCTAACACATGTAATTGTGCAGTATATGGTGAAACTGGTCGAGTACCACTCTATGTAAATACTATATATAATTGTCTTAAGTATTGGTTAAAATTACTATATTTACCAAATTCCAGATATCCTAAAGCTTGTTATGACTTATTGTACAATTTAGATTTGGCTGGAAGGTCAACTTGGGCCAGTAATATTAAGCATATTTTATATGAATATGGATTTGGTTACGTTTGGCAAGAGCAGGATGTTTTTGATGTAAATGGGTTTTTATCATCATTTAAGCAAAGGCTAATTGATTGCTCACGTCAACAATTATCATGTGATATTAAAGAGACGTCCAGACTACAAAATTATAGCTTGATTAAACACAATGTTAACTATATGAACCTTATTTATCCAAGGTATCTGTGACTAAATTTCGACAATCCTTAACTCGTTTTCGATGTTCAAACCATGATTTGGCTGTAGAGACAGGACGCTGGAAGAATGTACCAAAAATTGAAAGAGTCTGTAAATACTGTGATGAAATGCATGATTTAAAACAAACAGAGGATGAAATACATGTTATTGTTTATTGTAAATTGTATGATAATCTAAGAACCAAATTACTTCCAGAAATAGAGAACGAGAGACAACATAAAACAAATAGGGATATTTTTATTAGGGTCATGTCTGACGAAAATAATTATCGAAATTTAGCTATGTTTATTTATCAGTCATATGTTATCCGAAAACAAATTGATAATTGTAAATAGTTATGCTTATTTTGATTTATTATTATATTATATCAACAAATTATGTATACATATTGTCTTTATTACCATTATTATTTATTACTGTTATTTATCTCACATTTACTCACCGCACTTCTTATATGTTGTAAAAATTTATGTACTATGGGCTGGAGGCCTTAAATACTGTGAATAAATAAATAAAAAAAATAAAAAAATAAAAGATTTTATTTTAAAGTTTATTAAGCCATCTTTTCTTATTCAACTCAATTACATGATGAGATATGTATTGATTTTTAAAGATGTGTTATGTAACATTAGACAAGAGCTAACAATTCTTGCTATAAAAATAGATAATGAAACGGAATATGTTGAAAATTCAATCAAATTACTTCATTCTGAGTCACGTTATCACCGTTAGAAGAAAAGTCTTGTCGAGTGTCATTGCTACCGTTGTTACGATATAAACAAAGTCTCGATTATTCAATTTTTAATGAATTCATTAACTGCCAATCGTATTTAAATCTGTTGAAAATCTCCAGCATCCGATGGCATAGAGAGTTGATTAATAATATGGTGTCCGTAACTTAATTAATGTCTAATTAAAGATACATTATGTAAGATGCAAAACATGCAATAGGCAAATTTAGCTCTTGCATAATGCCTGTTTAAGTAAGTTTAATAAATAAAGAAAAAAATAACAAACTTTTATCTCAATGTATATACGCCTTTTTAAAAACCGTTTTAACTCAATTGAAGAAACCTGTGTTGTTATATATTAATGTATATATGAATATATCGTGATTATATGATAATTTTGAGAATAAACATTTTACAATAAAACGGGAGTATCTAGAAATCTCAATCCATAGACAGCCTCTTATCTCTTTATATTCACACACAAATACTCACAGTAAGACCGTATCGTGTAAACTCAATGACAAAATATAGTAATTTAATGTTTCGAGGTTTGTTTTTGTGTAGTAAAAGATTTAACCCCCCCCCCCATCCCAATGCCGTCCCCCTCACGGTTTGTTCAAAACGTCTTAACCCAGAGAACTGTGATAGTCGACCATTTTTGTAAAAGAGAATTTAACTCAATTTATTGCATATCATGGTATAATAACAGAATACAACAATATACAGTTGTCCTATTTTTAACATAGATATTCAAGTGAAGCGTATCAATACAGTGTTTATATAACATTGTGTTTATTAAGTATAGCAGGGCGAATCTATGTGCTATATCACCTCGGAGCAACTTAGCTAATGAAAACGGGCATACGCCATACAGTGTGCTATAAGTGTCATGTTGCCCCGACAGCGGCACCACGGGCTACTCTTACTTCGAATACCAACTGTCAAGGGTTCCTTTACATGCACGCCAATGTATACACACTACCTCGGTTTTTTTGTCCCATCCGAACGCCCTGCGTCTTGCCCCACTGACAAATGAGACCTACGCCCGAAAATCCGGATGAACTTTCTCGGCCAACACATGGATCGAACACGAGGCCTCAAGGTTAGCAAGCATAAGTTTTACTCGCTGAACCACCGCGGTGCCGGAAGCGGATGTTAAATAAACTAATTGGACACACGTTCTCTGCAATTGGAATTGAAATAATTACGTTGCAACTGTTTGTTTGTAGTCTGTATCTGTAATTTGTTGTCATAACGAAACCTGCCTAACACTAACAACCCGATATCTTGTTCCATCATTGGGACTTTGCCACCACAGTCATGGATCCCGAGAGAGGTCCAAAGAGCCCGGATGCCTGGCCTCGGGGTCAGAAATGGTTCTTGGAAATGGCGTCTACATTTTTTTTCAATTTTGTTGAATGAAGACCTATGAATCGTCACTGCAGCACTTTATACCAGTAAAAGCTCGACCAAAAATCTATATGGATTTAATCTTGTTAATGACAATCACAAGGCTTTTATACAAACTACCAAGATAATCACAAGAAAGGGTACACATGATTTATCTTTTAATGTCGCTATGGAGAGAGAAGCCCATTATGTGATTGGGATCTTGGTATCAATTCTCCTCTATACACGACATAATATAGCCTGAATTGATGATTTTATATTATTTATGCTGTGGGATCAATCCAAGTATAGCCGTTTCCATCCTGGGCTTGAGTTTCCTCCCACTTCTAAAGACCAATGGGGTCAAACGAATTATTGAAATAAAGATAGATCATATGATATGTTTGTGAAGAAATGACCGAGCTTCTATTATGTGGACGCGATACCTCATCCCTGCAAATCATGCCTTCAATAATTGCATGCAGGTGAGAGCTACATATTGTTCAGTAACAGTGAGAAACGTGACACAAAGGGGTATGGTTGAGCAACTTTTAAAAGTATTCCCTCTATATTGACTCAATTTGTTTCTTAATATCTCAATGAACAGAATGAAAAGTTAAATTTACATATTTTGTAATAAATTATTGTCGACCTCAAATTACTACCTGGTTGCAATATTCTTATTTAAAACTAGTGATATTAGGTAAAATGTCTTGGCTAGGTAGTAGATGTTTAAGTGGGATATATTTATTATTTTATCTATACTATATGACAGGTAAGGAACGTATTTCATTATTGCTGCCTCATTCTGTTTTCGTTTTTATTTTATATACATTTCATACTTACTTCATCATATTAATCACCTGTCCAACCTCGTAAGGTTTCTCCTTGTCCTCCAATTTTCTTCCACTGCTAAAGATATCTAGCACAAGCTAAATCTTATAATAAAATTGAACCATATGGTAGTCGCAAAATGACCTAGTTTGTGTGGACGTTACCTCCCCCCCCCTCTCTCTCTCTCTCTCTCTCTCTCAATCAATCATAGGCTAGGCGTATTGACTCGATGACTGATAGGGTGGCAGAACACCACCCTTCGAAATATTCGGAAATAAGACGGCTGCAAACGCGTTTTCCTGGGGAGAATCTGATAGTGGGCACCTAGAATTAAGAAGGTTGTGTTGGCATCTTCTATTTCTATTGTAACACCTCACTGGTTTCTATGAATAAAATGCTCCTTAACACCGCGACATGTGTAAAAATAAAATAGATATCTGAGTAACTTCCTTGTTGAATAAGTATGCTATTAGTAATATATAATATAAAGAAGACGGTGTGTGAAACTGGCTACGAATGTATAACATCAACAATAAATAATATATGGTTAAGTGTGATTCATTTTTTATACATTTGGATCATGACGTGACTTTTAATTTTTTTAATAACTAGAAGCCTTTTATGTCCACCGGTGTCCTCTTACCAAGGCAAATCTAGAAATAACAGATAAATTTATACATTAGATGGTCCCTGATGCATAGGCGTACGGGCTCTATGAATTTTTAAGTGGGGGGGGGCGGGGACAGCATCTGAAATGCATTGGAAATGTCAGTTTACACACGGCGGTGCCGGTCGTCTGCGAGAGACCAAGGAGCGGAGCGTACCGTGTAGCCCCCCTCCCCCTCCCCCTCTAAGAAAATTGGGAAACGCGTTTTCATGCTATTCCAGCGACTTCAAAGTGGTCTGACATAGCCTAGCTTAGGTGGCGGAGCTTTGACTATCGATATAGGATTCCTCCTTAGGGCAAGTTGAACAAGAAGTTCCCGGGGTTAGTCTGCACACTAGTTTAATATGCATTACTAACTTTGCCTAAATGGCGATGGTGAATGCAATGTATTTATTGCTAAGGCGTATTTCTTCCTTCAAGCTTATCTTCTCCGACGGTTGATGAAAACTATACCACCCACACGGACAATATACTGAATGATCGCATCTCTATCACTAAACCTGCAAATTAATTGGACGACAACCGGAAGGCCGGTGGAGAGAACTGGAGGATAGAAAGGGTGGTTCCATCAAACCCTCCTCATAACCATCCTATTCATGCCATACACTGATAGAAAAACTTATGAATTTGACTATATCTGAGTCTCATAATGACATAATGAACATAGCAACGTATGCAAGAACTGTGGGAAGTCAATGGTATTTAGAGACTCGCCACGTAACACTCATTAGTGACAAAAGATGGATTCTCTTGAATACAGGTTGGAATAAAGGGGGTTGAAAATAAAGGTGTACAATCGCCATGATTGTTCTACAACTTGAAAACAAGTATGGCGATTATTTAGGGTGTTAACTCTTTTTATTTGATTATTTCTGTAGTTTTGTAATCGGAGTTCAGCTTTAAGGGTCAAATAGAAGATATGTTATACATAATATGGCTGAATTGATTTTTCTGAAATATTTGGACGACTCATTTGCTAATACGAATTAGTAGGTTTACAATCCTCAGATCTGTGACCATTTCTCGGGGAACAAGGTTTGATGATCGTTTTTGATAGAAGGGACCCTAGTGAAGATATTTTTAGTTTGCAATCTCTGAAAACTCCAGTAGAGCCGAAAATCCAATATGGCGGCCCAAAATGGCCTGAAATTGACCTGGACAAGTATCGCTGGCGAAATGAACTGTGTAATATCGGTTTTGCTGGTCACCCGACTCATTTTGGACAGTTTCCGATTCATTTCACAAATGGTTCATACAATATGGCCGCCAAAATCCGAAATGGCGACAGAAATCGGCTCGAAAAGTATTCTGCCAATACCAGTGGCAACATACACGTGTGATGTATCGTTTCAGGGGTTCTAGGGGACCAGAAACGCGAATATGCCATTCATAGTCTTTTAAAAGGTTATATACACTCAAGTTCCAACCCACTTAAGGGTCAAATAGGAGATATTTTATACATAATATTGCTGAATGGATTTTCTGAAATGCGGTAAGAATCATCCTAAGATGATAAAGATAAGAGTTTGTCTGAAAGTGATTGGGGAATTTTTGATAACTATTATTGGTATGAATGTTTCTTATCGAATGGAATTGCCCGATCCCATAGTTTTAGTGAGACCCTTTAATGGGTTCAAACAAAACTTAATAGGTATATTGCTTGAGATCCTTATACGGCATTTAGTAATTGAATTTAAGATATAAAACACAAATTTATATGGAAAACAATCACTGAGTTTATTTCACACTACGTTTCAACAAGCTCCTCTTGTCGTTCTCAAGTAAGTAATGACAGTATAATAGCAAGAAATCAAATTATATACAAGGTAACAAAAACAATAACTAATATGAAACCATCAAAGGGTTAATAAAAAAGAACAATAATAATCCTGGCAATATGTTTTGAATTTTGTTGCAGCCCATCATGAGTTTTAGGAGAATCAATAACCCCACAATGTCTACTTATGTCCTTTCACGGTGCCAATGTTGGTGGAGTGCAGAGGAGATACATGAAATAAAATGTGGTTATGGATTGGTGTTTAATATCCTACTGTTCCGCACTGGGGTTGTGAAGCAGTACGTGGCGGTGCCATAAATCTGGTCTGCCCTCTGTTTGCCCCCACCCCCAATAATTTTAGACAATAAAAAAGTATTTGTGATACGTTTCGGTAATCAATATCTTCTTCGGCGATTAAATCTCACATTCACACTCAGTCATAGACTTGCATGTTGTAGAGTCTGGGTGATTTCTTACCAATCCCATCCTGCGGTAAATTTACTATAAACATTAACACATGAACCACTTGAAAAGTGCTTTTAAAGATCCTTAAAATTTTTGGGTATAGGTTCAACGCGACGAGAATATACACTCACTCCGTTCGCTTGATACCTCCGTCTCTGTTCGTATAAGCTGGTGATTTGGCGAACAACAATATCTGGTCAGCTCTATTTATCTCGACGACAGTGTCTGAAATACTGCCAGACTGCATTTCCGGCAGTCTATTTCTCAACATATCACTCAACATTTTATTCACTCACTCCGTGCGTTTGACACTTTCCTCTCTAGTCGGATAAAATAGTGATTAGGCGGCAGGCGGTATCTGGTAAGCTCTATTTATCTCGTTTATCAATGCCTGAAATACTGCCAGACTCCATTTCCGGCGGTCTATTTTTCAGATTTTCGGGGCTTCGTTGAGATTCGCAAGTCCGTTCGTTTGGCACTTTCCTCTCTGAGGTCGGATAAAATAGCGATCAATCGACAGACGGTATCTGATTAGTTCCATTTATCTCGACAATCGGTGCCTGAATACTGTCAAATGTTTCTTGTGGAGGTCCCCAATACCTTCCGTAACGACTCGTTACTTTGGAACTCATGAAGGGGACTTCGTTGAGGTTCGCAAGTAGTTCGTTTGACACTTTCTTCTCTGACCGGATAACTAGTGATCAGGCGACGGACGGTAAACTCGTCAGCTCTATTTATCTCGACGATCGGTGCCTGACTGAGTACTGTGAGACAGCATTTCCGGCAGTGTATTTTTTAAAATGTTCTTGGGGAGGTCAACCATACCCTCCGTAAACAGTCTCTACTTTGGCGCTCTTGAGTTGGAATTTTCGAGGTTCGCAAGTTCGTTCGTTTGACACTTTATTTCAACGATTTGTGCTGGAAATACTTCCAGACTGCATTTCCGGCAGCTTGTCTATCAAAAATGTCTTTATTACATACTTCGAGAAGGTATTTGTTGAGTAATAAAACCTTCTAGTAGTTTATCGAGGGCTGGCCGTCCTTATCGCACGGTACAAATATTATCACCACTAGAAGCAACAAATTCCAGAACAAGTCAGAACTCATACCAAAATGGCCGCTTTATACAGATGAGTATTTAGGGGAATACTAACCCTAACCCTTTTAAGAGAAGTAAAAACTAAATTAGACCCAAGTTCAGTCTTTTAAAAAGGATTAGGGTTCGGGTTAGTTATCCACAAAATTCTCATTTATATAAAGCGGCCATTTTGGACTCCGGAAGCACCCGAACCTTGATAAACTACTAGAAGGTTTTATTTGTACCGTGCGGTAAGGACGGCCAGCCCTCGATAAACTACTAGAAGGTTTTATTACTCAACAAATACCTTCTCGAAGTATGTAATAAAACCTAATCGGGTGACTAATTATATGATTACTTAGTTAACATTTATTACCGTACTCCTTTTGGAGAGATGTGTGACAATTGTGGAGATCTGTGACGTGTTATCGTTTTGAGATATCAGAAAATAAAACAGTGTGGCATATAATAATGTTGTTACCAGTGGGCCTATAATCCACGCTAATCGTTTTACATTATACAGTTTTAATGTATTTGTATCCACCTTTCATAAATTTGGTTATGTTTAATATAACGAACCTTGTTGTATCACTACAAAATAGTCTAATAAAACAGTCTATTGACATTCTGGAATAAACTGGGTGTTACACTAAATTATTTTGTAAATATGATTATCAACGCAACCAAACTTAAAATGAACCTCAAACATTTACGTCGCTTTATTGTCCATGACATGCAAAGCTTGTAAGAGCTATGTAGGTTAGAGCTTTTTAAAAGATCCTTTTGAAAAATAATTCAAGTAGTCAGGGAAACTGTAACGAAATTATTATATTAGCATGTATTATTTATCAGCCAAAAACTTGTAAACTCCGCACACGTCATTCTGTTTGAATTTTGAATTGTTTGTATGCCAGAGCTTTTTTAAAAGATCCTTTTGAAAAATAATTCAAGTAGTCAGGGGAAACTGTAACGAAATTATTATATTAGCATGTATTATTCATCAGCCAAAAACTTGTAAACTCCGCACACGTCATTCTGTTTGAATTTTGAATTGTTTGTATGCCCTGACCCTATTACAGTTATCAAGGAAGAGCCCTGTCAGTCATGGGTTTTCCTCTGCTCATACAAACTTATAAATGACTTTAAAAAAATAAGAGCTGGGCTATTGGATGATTTTGCCGATACCTTCACAAAGGTCGCGTTTTAACTACCAGGCGCCATGTTTAGTGAGATATTTAATGCAATCCGACAAATAATTGAGCTCAAATGGTTCTTTTACGTGCACGCCAAAGTGTACAGCACCCAAATTTATACACGGGATCTCAGTTTTTCGTCCCATCCGACCGGCTAGACGCTTTCCATTGTCAGGCCCCCTGTCCTAAAGCAACCACAAGTAGAGACCACGCTAGAAAATTCCGGTGACCTTTCGCGGCCAACACCGAGACCCAACCCCGGGACCATCTTATTAACGAGCGAATGCTCTAACTCACTGCGCCACCGTGGTTTCTAGCATCAATATGGTATAATGTTATGCAATAGCAATATGTTTTGGTAACATATATTTTTGCAGGTATACAATCAATGTCTCAATAACATTCTTTATTTAATTAAACCCGAGTTTTGTCCATAAATCTTGAATACTTAATAAATGTGTTTTTGAATACACTTAACATGTAACAATTAAATGCCCACGGGCAAGTTGATAAATTGCTCATTTCAGCTTATAGTGACAACGCGTGATGTTCATCATTCTTCAACATCGCTTTCAATCTTCCTAATTGTTTGCATATAAATGGATAAATAAACATTAAAATAGATAAGTAAACAACTTCCTGGTCTTAATACTTTAAATACGTGACGTTATTAGAGTTGTCACACATGACTAGATTGGGTTAGACCGATAAAATGGCTAGGTTAGGCATTGGATATTTGGGACTAATATATTTGTTATTTCATTTCTACTACCTCACAGGTAAGAAATATATTTATTTAATTGATAATATATGACCACTAATAGAAGGTCCATTGTTTCAAAATAATGAACATAAATGGTTATAGGTGGGCCGGAAGCCGAATTATAAGGCTTTATCATGATCTCTCATCAACATTAAAATCAGTTAAAAATATGCATAAAACGGACACAGCGGATTACATTCAAATATTATTTTACGATTTAATGGTCCTTAGAAAACATATCTTCAATGTTTAAAAATTGTGGGTTGAATGTTCAATTGTAAACAGCAATTACCTGGATACATACTTTTGCTATATATTTAGAAACTATATGCTATTATAGCTCTATCGTGTACTGTTCGTGCTTCGCATTAAATCAGTTCAGCCTACTTTCAAACCAAAAACAGATCAGACGAAACAAGAAATCAAATTAATGAAAATGAATTGAAATAAAACATAGTCATCCTCTTTGCTTTAATCCTGGTTAAATCCGGGTGTCAACAAGAAATAATTCTCGGTGAGCGCAGACTTCAATGAAAATGTTTTTGGTTTTTTTTGATTATAGGTAGATATGGTTGTTATTGTCAAGAGGAATGTAATAAGGGGTGCACGGATACCGGATGTAATAATACGACAGGTGTCTGTACAGAATGTATACCGGGTTTATTTGGTACAAACTGTACAAAGGATTGCAATAATTGCATAGGCGACTGTGACAAAATCAACGGATATTGTGCTAAATGTAAAGAAGGTTTTCATGGTAATAACTGTCAAGATAATTGTAGCAGTGGATGCACTAACAGTGTTTGTAGTAAACCTACTGGCGATTGTACGGATGGATGTAAAGATGGAAGATTTGGTTCAGACTGTATGAAAATATGTGATATTACTAACTGTCTAAATAACTGTAGCATAACTACAGGTCACTGTACGGAATGCAAATCTGGTTGGTTTGGTACAAACTGTAAATCAAATTGCCCAGGAACCTGTAAAAGCGAGTGCCGCCAAGCGAATGGTAGATGCAACGTTTGCAAAACTGGATTGTTTGGTGATGGTTGCACTGAACAATGTCCTGTCAACTGTACAGATACCTGTCAAAGGTCTGATGGCAAATGTTATGGGTGTAAACCTGATACAGTTGGGTCTCACTGTAACGGTACGTGTAGACCTGAATGTGTACCTATGATCGGAACGCCATTGGGAACTTGTGATAGAGATGGCGTATGTACTAAATGTATTGAAGGTAAATATGGTACTTTATGCGAGATAAACTGCAGTGTCAACTGTGTTGCCGGATGTGCGAGATCTGGTGGTCGGTGTGGTAGTTGTATTAAAGGTAATAATTATACATTCTATTATCTACGTTCATTCTTATCTTTGTAACATTACAGCATGACTATATTACAACCATTCCGCCTTTCTGCCACGGCAGCGGCTGCACTCGGGTAAGTCCATACGCCCGTCTCTGGTCGCCTCTGCTCTTCTCACCTTCCCGTCTATCTAACTGTCAGTAAACTTGTGGTTATATACCTTAAACAATAGGGAACGTTGATACGAACAAGTTCATTATAAATGGAATTTACAATTTATCGTATTAATTTCGCTGACTGGTATAAATCTATACAGGCCATACATCAACATTGTCAATACGTGTGGGATTGATTAAGTCTGTAATTATATAAGTACGTGCATATAGGTAGTAGACGTGTATATATAAAAAAAATTGAAAAAAGAACTACATTATTTGTCGATTACTAGCCCTTTGGCTCATTTTAATACCAAAATACTATTTTAAACTAGTATCTACTTTCACACTTGCCTTTGTAATATTCCAATTATTTTGACCATATCGTATTTTGAACTAGATGCTTTTCATACTAGACCCACAGACCTAGGATCTTCTGATTATCGAGTCTCCGCAAGCACCTGGCCTGACAGGAGAAATCCAAGAACTCTCGGGTACTAAATGGCGTTTCCAATATGCCAATACTGGATTAAAGGTATTGAAATTGAATTCTCCCAAGCCGACTTAATAAAAAAATATCTCTAGTATCCTTGGCAACTGTAACAAAGTACTCTATAACTTTCATGAATTAAACGGTCATTTAGGTGCTTAGAACTTTGTGACCTCAGCTGATTTTTTATAATATATGATATTGACTTTTCAACTCTGTATAAACTTCTCTTAAGGCACGGACAGGCTATGATCTAATTAAACATGTAATTAATCCCATATGTCATTTACAAACTACATATGATCTGTGCACACGCTCCGCATTACTTCGAGGAAATACGAACTGGTCAGTAAGCATACCATGACGAGATAAAAGAGACAACATTATTGCATATATGATCATGAGTTATATATTGTCCGAGGGTATATAATGAGGAGTTCACTGACAGTTAAACAAGACAACTAAAGACGACTAGACAGAGCAGAGAGAGACGGAGAGGCCGGTGTATGAACTTACCCAAGTTCAGTCGCTGCCTTGGCAGAGGGGCGGAATGGTGGATTTAATATGGTTATATGTGTTCCTGTAGAAGTCTAGTTCCCGATGTAGTTTAGTTCATGTTGTATGTATATAACTGTAGCTGTTTTATATACCTGATGTAAATAAATCATATATTTACTAAACTAATCTCTGTTATCACTAAGATAGTGTTACACAACAACAAGATAATCGCCGTATTTGGTCACGTCACGATTCCCAAACTGTGACAGGTCTGAATTCCATGTAACTCGAATGTAATTCTGTGAAACCTGTGATCAGTAGAATCGTGTCGACCATTTTAAAATATCCCACAGTTTTGGTAGAATATATCTCCAGTATTCACTAATTATGACTTATATTCTGAAGATTTATTTTCCCTTATTTGTCAACATTCAGAGCATTGGAGGTACCGACCTTTCTATTTTTTGTTACAGGTAAAAGTGGAGATATGTGTAATGACGACTGCAATGATAACTGTACTATATGTCAACAAGCTGACCCCAATGATTGTTCTGCATGTATTGATACAAGGTGGGGAACATCATGTAATACACCATGTAGTTATAACTGTAATGGTAGTTTATGTCATCACGTGACCGGACTTTGTTTGTATGGTTGTAAAGCGGGAAAGACTAGAGCCAATTGTACAGAAGGTAGGTTACGTTTAATAATCCAGGTGTGGGGAGTGGTAATTATTTGTCGTGATGATATCTACATGGTTTATTGGTTAATTTGTTTGTTGTATTTTATTGCAGATTTTCGCAATACATGGTTTATTGGTTAAATTGTGTGCATATTATGGATTCTGGTAGTTGTCTATTGGTCTAATGTGTTGTATTTTGTTGTATATTTTCGCGATACTATAAATTGTTTATATTATTTTCAAGATTGATTGTCCGTTCTGGTGGCCCTTATTGTACAGTTCTTGTTATAAATTGTTCTTGTTTATCATGTTATCACTATAGATTGTTCTTATAGGCTAGATGATTGTTTACACTATTACTATAGATTGTCCTTCAGTGTAGATTGCTTGATTATATTGTGATTGCAAATTGTTTACATAATTATCCTTGTGGTTTACAATATTACTATAGATTGTCCTTCGATATAGATTACTTAATTATATTATTATTACAAATTGTTTACAGGATTGATTTGTGGTTTATAGGATGTAAATTGTTTATTATATTATCACAATATATTGGTCTGATTGGTCTGATATAAATTGTTTACAGATTCTCCTACATGATGAAAATGTATTATTTGATTACAATAGATTATCCTTGTCAATCTTAATTATATCATTATTGCAAATCATTTATTGTAATTTCTCACCGATATGGTTAGTACTATTATTATAGATTTTCCGTGTGGTTTATATGATGTAAATTGTTTACTGTGTTAACGCAATAGATTTTTCTGATATGATGTAAATGAACTACATTATTACCATATATTTACTGATGTAAATTGTTGATTATGTTATATTGTCCTGGTTTATAAATTGTTGATTGTATGTTATTATTGTAAATTGTTTATATTGTTATTTATATAGATTATTTTTCGGTTTTTATCCAATGTAACTTGTTTACTGCATTATTATTATTAGTGACATTGCTATTATCACCCTAGTTATGTTATTTCTTTAGATATCCAACTTCTTCATAGCATAAATTGTTTAATTATATTAATATTACAGATAGCCCTGGTGTCCTGCTGGCCTTATAGGTTAAATAATAATGATTATTGACATTCGTCTGATGCTTTATATATTGTAAATTGTTTATATTATTATCCTGATGATATGTAGTGTAAATTGTTCATATTATTATTTTAGATTGTCCTGCAGGTCTGTATGGTATGGGTTGTAAGAATAAATGCGGTAACTGTGCTAACAATACACCATGTGATGTTGTTACTGGAGAATGTGGAACAGTTGGATGTTTGCCAGATTTTACAGGAACAACATGTCAACAACTAGGTAAGATCAGATCAACACATCGGAACAGGTGAGGGGGGGGAGGGCGGGGTGACACTCTGGGGACACTTATTCTATGCCCTGGCAGCTAACTCTTTAATTTCACACTGCCGTGTGTCTGGGTAGGACTTAATGATAGTTGTCGAATAGAACTTCAAACTCCTTTCTGTGAGTTGGAGGGGGTTGGATGACCGAATGGTTAGCACGCGCGCGCTGTATCATAAGGTCTGTCATTGAGTCAACTGGCGTGGTTTAGATTCCCGTGTTGTGCGTGGCAAGGAGTAGGGTCGCCTGTCCATCCTCCTGGGTTTTCTCCGGGTCCTCCGGTGTCCTCCCACTGCTAAATTGAAATACAATTGAAAACCATGTTAGTCCCGAAATGACCTAGTTTGTGTCGAGTGGACGTTAAACCCCATTTCTCTCTCTGGGTTCGAGGTATTTTTATGTTACAATGGTATATTCTACAGCATGAACACAGCAACTGTTCCATAGGATCCCTGCATTGGCCGAGAAAGTTCATCCAGATTTTGCGGCGTGGTTCCCTCTTGTCAGTGATGCAGGACGGAGGGCCTGTCAAGGACAGCTTTCTAGTCGTTTGGGTGGGACGGAAAACCAAAGTCCCGTGTACACATTGGCGTGTACGTAAAAGATCCATTGACAGTTGGAATTCGACATAAGAGTAGGCCGCAGTGCCGCTGTCCGGGTAAAATTTCCCTCATCGCACACTATATGGCGTATGCCCGTCTTCATTAGCCCAGTTCGGAGCAGAACAGTATGACGTTAAACCCCATTTCATTTCATTTTTGTATGTTAACGTTACACACGATTCAAACCTATGATGTCTGCCCTGGCTATTTCGCCCAACGGTCTCTCGGGAAAACGCGATAGTTTAATAGAAATAAAAAGTTTAGGGGCGTCAACTATCAGGGATCCTTGACCATATTTTGGTAAATGTTTCATTTTTTATGAAAGTTGGCTAATCTGTACCAATTGTGCGGAGACCTCTGACCTGCGTCTGATCATTAACTTAATAGGATATCATTTTAAGGAACCGTGACACAACAGTAGAACATTTCTCGAAATAAATGTTGTCAGGAAATGTGGATCAATCTAAGAAAGTTGAAGGAATCCTGAAAGGGTAGCCTGCATAGTATCATAGAGTGGCCGAATGGTTAAAGCGTGCGGTTGCGCCATACGATCTGTCATTGAGTCAAGTGGCGTGGTGTCGAATTCCCGCTTGTACGTGACAATGAGTAGGGTCACCTGTCCAACCTCGTGGTTTATTTAATACTCTGATATCGTTTCACGGGCTTATAATGATTTGAACCCAATCGATTACTGCTTTGGTCATGTTTTTTATTCTTGGTATTTTTCCGTATTTCTCGTTGTACGTACTGGCATTGAGATTCCTTGTAACACATAGATGATCATGACTAATGCTAGAATGATACAGCATTTGGGATATAGTCCTCTTTTTTCGGGGTTTGTCTCCCTTATTGTGGGTTTATTTTATTTTGAGAGAAACCTGTATCATTACACGCCCAGATCTATTCACTTGCCTTACGCATACGGTTGATGTTTATTGCTTGCAATGTCTGTGTATATTTTGCCTCTTAAAGTGTTCATCCTGCACTTACTAATAGTGAAACGATAATTGCAATAATCTGTATTTCATTGTTACTAGCTGAAGACCTAAGCAGTGCTGCGAGTGGTATTATTGGTGCTGTGGTTGGAATAATATTTACCAGCGTTTTTTGTATCGTGGGATTTGTTTTCTATAGTAAAAGGTATTATTTCCTTTACATAAATTTTACAAAATGTAGATTAAGTAACTTAATAATGAGTGTAAAATCTAATAAAGATTAAAGATTATATAATATATATATTAATATTTTCTTTTATGTAAATGAAGTGTACACTTTGTCTGCAGTGTTCACTTCTAATACACCTCAAGGGCAACTTTAAGCCAAGTGGTCACAGTGGAAACACTACCAAAGACACTTCCCTTGGGGGACTCTCTCTCTCTCTCTCTCTCTCTCTCCCTCTCTCTCTCTCTCATTTCATTACCAAATCTAAAAAGCGTCTTATTTCGTCATCATTTCATCGACGTTTCGGAAAGGCTGTGCATACAGGTGATCATTTGGTTGACACCTCTACAAGATAGTCCATTTACCACAGGGCCTTCCAGTACAAGGATTTCTTTATGACACAAATCTCTTCCGATTTAAAATGTCACTATTTTGTTAATTTATTTGTTATCTTTTAGAAAACTTCATCCTAAACTGCAGTCTTCAAGTGTAGCAAAGACATCAACTACCAACGGAGAGTCTTATGCCAAGTTGAAGAAATTACCAGTTAATAAAGAAGGCGCGTACGAAAACTTACAAACATCGACGATTACCATGAACGAACAACGTGTTACGTATGAAAACATAGATACAACGGTTCTTTCCAAAAATGATGTAAACGATACCTATGTAAATTTAGATACAAAAACAGATTCTCAGGCTGAGTCAAATACATACGAAAATTTTGGACCTAAGTAAACACCTCAACATTAATATGATAACAGACATAGCTATTCTATTTATCAATAAATGATATGGATGCAGACCACCAAGTTTCTCTCCTTTTGCACGGCCAGTTTTGTTCTCCTGTTTTGGTTTAAAAACTATGAGGAGGATTTGAATTGATCATGTGGCTAAGAGATTGTAGGATAATAGGTAATTTAGTCCGAAGTAAATTTTGATACAAAGTTGGAGCCGGGAAAAGAGATCGGAACCAATATGGAGATTATTGGCGGTCTACATCCGTATAAGTAGATTAATCGACTTTTGTCTCCCTTCTATTAGAGCTTTTAACGTGCAGGTCGGTTGCACTTGATGGATAATTTTCCGAGTATAGCCGTTGACTGAAAATTGGCTCCTCAGAAAAGGACCTAACAATTATTTTTTTTTTTTCTAAGCAATATTTTTATTCAGATTTGTATCTGAATAGAGAAAGGGAACAGGCATAGCCTATATTAAACCCCTCTCCCTAAGATTCCCTAAAAAACGTTTAGAATTATATAGTTTAGGTCATTAATCGTTATTGATAACAATTTTAATTGAAGTTTGTCTTAATTTGTGGTAAAAATAAGGAGCAATTATTTTATGTATATACAAAAAAAATCTTAAACTCATGTGGTTATTGAACATACAAGTAAACATTGACAGGTCAGAATAAAATGGGTTTTGGGTTGTTTTTTTTTTTAATTTTTTTTTAATTATTCATATTAAAATTTTAAAGTGCCCCTGAACATCTTATATGAAAGGGCGCACTATAAATATGCTGTAATAATAATAATAATAGTAATAATAATAATAATAATTAACATTAGTGTTACTTTGCTCTTATTTTTTGAAAATTTTTTCACAAGTTGTTTTCCTTTATTTTGTTAATGTAGAATGGTAATGAACTGCTCTTTTCATTTTCTTTGTTTTATTTGTTTCGTTTGAATTTGATTTATCTGTTTAGTTTTTTGATTGTTTAATTTTTGTTAATGAAGTTGATTCTTTTAAACTTCGTTTTTTATTTTTGAACTCTACTTGGTGTAGGTGTTCATCAGGTAATACCTCGACTGAGTTCAATATAGAGATTAGCCGGTCGATTTGTTGGATATAAACCTTTGAATAATAGCGCCTAACAGGCAGCTGTGTTTAATTATGTTCTCCTGATTTTGATTGTTTCTGTGTGTTTGAAGTATATGTTTGTGATATGCGCTTAGAAACACTTCACGTGTAATGAAGCGCTATATAAATCGAACAATAATAATAATAATAATAATATAGACGTGTCTAGTTTATTGAATTCACGCATGAATAAAGTGTAAAACGTCTTTTTGTTGATATATTATTTTTACAACCACTGTATAATATGGCTCGGGGCCATTACGAATGAATGAATGAAACGGGGCTTAGCATCCTACACATATATAGGGCAGTGTATTACCGATATTATGTACATGGATGCGAGGAGGAAGGTGGCTATTCAGCTGATGATATACTATGGTGTCGTCATGTCTCAGGTGTATGAATGCAACTTTTCTATATCACCAATTTCTTCTTTTTGCAAAATCATCGTCTATACTAGGGATGTTGGGTGTCCGAATGGTCTAAACGGGTGCGCTTTAGATGATATGGTCTTTCATTGAATCATGTGTCTTTGTTTGGATTCCCAGCTTCATTACTAAGAAATTGAAATTGTGTATATCTAATACAGATAATAGTGTTAAAATGTTAAAGATCTTATTTTAAAATTTATTAAGCCATCTTTACTTATTAAACTCGGATTAAATGATGAGATAAAAATTATTTTTTAAGTTTAATAAAAATAAAAAAAGAACAAAAAGGCTTCTTTTTTTCAAAAAGTATATACGTACTTATTAACCATTTTAACGAATTGAAGAAACCTGTGTTGTTATATATTAATGTATATATGAATATATCGTGATGTAAATATATGATAATTTTGCGAATAAACATTTTACAATAAAACTTGAGTATCCATTAGAAATGTGAATACATAGACAGCCTTTTATATCTTTATATTCACACACAAATACTTACAGTAAGACCGTATCGTGTAAACTCAATGACAAAATAGAGTAATTTAATGTTTCAAGGTTTCTTTTTGTGTAGTAAAGGATGTTACCCCCCTGACGGAATGGTTGGTCAAAACGTCTTAACCCGGAAAACCATGAAAGTTTTAGAGAGAATTTACCTCATGTTATTGCATAACAAATATACAAAGCATTATCACTTTATAATAACAGAAAACAACAATATACAGTTGTCCTATTTTTAAAATAAATATTCAAGAGACTTTTGGCAAGCGGAATTTTCCCCATCCGTATCCGTATCGTTAGTGTAGCTTTAGAGTTTTGGAGCAGAGATTAGTTATATTAAAAATCTTCGACTTCGACTCGGCAGCAATGTTTGGTTTCACTAATGTATCATTTATACCCCTTACCATAGAATCACATCATTTATAGATTTGCAAGGTCCCACCTCCCTAAATTTAGTACATCTACGCAGTGCCGGACTGTTGGGCGGAAGGCCCGCCTGTCAGGTCATTGACTAAGGCCTACACAAGTACGCGCCGAAGGCGCGTCACGAAAGCGCGCGAGCGTCCGAGGGCGGTCTGGGAAAATTTTGAAAATTGACAACCGCAAACCCATTTTCCAAGCATTTTAGACCAAAGCAGAAGGCGGCAAATTTTTGATTTCCTGATACAATTAGAAAACAGAATCTAAGAGCACTATCATTAGATGAATTTACCCGGAAGTGATTAATTTTTCGAGAAAAGCTCAAAACTGGCAAGTTTTAGGCGATTATTTCGGCGATAATGACTTATGAAGAACTAAGTAGAGTTTAAAAGATGAATCACATAAAGTTCTTTCCTTGTAGTACACTTCTTTTTTTGTGTTGTTTGTCAGTCATTTTTTCCTATCTTTTCTTTCTCCTGTCCTCCGTCCTGTCCTCTCCTTCCTTCTTTCTTTTTTTTCTTCTCACTCTCCTTTCTTTCTCTTTTCTTTTTTCTTTTTTTTCTCTTTTCTTTTTTCTTTTTCTTTCTTTTCTCTTTTTCTTTTTTTCTTTATAGGCTTAGGCCCACTTTTTTTTAATGAGCTTAGGCCCACCTGTCGGCCAACCTGTGGGCCTAGTCCGGGCACTGCATCTACGTAGATCAACTAGCAGACAAACAGTAAAAATGTAAAGGATCCAAGAAAAACTCATCAAAAATAATGGTTAAATTCAAGTCTTTATCATGGTTAAAATCACGTCAAATATACACCTTCGTGTTATAGGAAACACATAGATTCATAAATACACTATGGCTCAACATTTCAGCGTCTAAAAGTAGCAAAAAAAAAAAACGGCAAAAAGACGACCATGTTATACGAACCTTTGCCGTACGAAAGCTGCTCGACACGTGCTACCGACTATATGCTGTGAGATCAATTCAAATTGACCTAAATACATTTCCATATTATCCATCCCAGGCATGAGTTTTTACACTCTGGTGGCAAGCGAATCATTAAAAAAAGATATAGCATATCTGGTGTGTTTGTGAGATAATGACTTGAAGGCGTATAATAGAAGCCAAGTCACTATCTCACAAACACACCAGATATGCTATATCGGCAATACTATATACCGGAAAACACCGGAAAACAACCGGAAAACACCGGAAAACAACCGGAAAACACCATTTTATACTGAATACCGGAAAACACCGGAAAAACACTAAATACCGGAAAACATCCTAAAAACCGGAAACACCCTAAATAGGTAACCCAGAGCCTGGTCCTCTGTGTGCGGTTTTGGACCAAGTGAGCGCCGATGAAGGAAGGTCAAGGTCATGTTCGTTTTACAAAAAGCCCCCCCCACCCCACCCCACCCCCCCCCAAAAAAAAATCCGATTTTTTTTTTTCCCAAATTTTTTTGACGAAAAAAATTTTCTGTCCCCCCCAAAAAATAGAATTTTTCCGAAAAATTGGTTTTACAAAAAAAAACATTTTACAAATAGCCCCCCCCCCCCCCCCCAAAAAAAAAAAATCCGATTTTTTTTCTCCCAATTTTTTTTGACGAAAAAAATTTTCTGTCCCCCCCAAAAAATAGAATTTTTCCGAAAAATTGGTTTTACAAAAAAAACATTCCGTAGGAAATAATTTTACAGAGAAAAATACTGGAAACAAAATTTGAATTTTTTGAGAGAGAAATTTGGGAGAAGAAATTCTTAAAAAAAAATCTGAAAAGAAATTTTTCTTTGACCGTAGGCGATCGCTCGCTTGTATGTGAATGAACTTATTTCATCAGCGCTCACCTGGTCCAAAACCACACACGAGGACCAAACTCCGCATTACTAAATACCTACCGGAAAACTTAGAAGAGTAAACTGTGCCCGAGATTTTTTTTAGAGAGCGCGCCGCACAGCGCCGCGCCGCTCCGGGAGGGATCATCGACAGGGTGCGACGGGGGGTGGAATTGTCCAGTCACGTGACGAACATAGATCTTCCATTCCTCAACCCATATTATTTCCACAGTCATTGTCATTAATTACGGGATGATATACGAAAATGCAGGTTTACTTTGAAATAGTGCAAATGATACTTTTCCATCTACAATCTTCAGATCAAAGGATGAAAGTTCTTACACAGTGTAGCATAATTTGTGCAACAGAAGACATCTCGAATATCGATTGTCGGAAAAAACATTTTCTCGGGGACATTTTTTTCCGATTACGCATTCTGTGTAAGTCTTCAGCCACCAGGAAGTGGTTAATATAGTAATGTTTTATTACGATAGTAGTACATAAAACAAATTGGTTGCCTGAGATTCTCGGGGGGAAAGTAGCCTCATCGGCTAGAGTCCTCTATTTCACAAACAAAAACAACAATTGCTTCCTTGAAAATTTATGGATCAACCCTTTTCACAGACGTCCAGCTAACCACTTCCCGTCATTGCAGTAAGATAGAATATGTAGTTTCCTCATGGACAATTGGGCGAAAGTTGGGGTTTTCTCAAGGAAAACTGGTCAACGAGTTGGGGAATAAAGCTCGAAAAGTAATCCAGAAAAAAAACCCTGGTGCGGCCCTCGGATTATGATGGAATATGTTGAATATTATTATGGTTCAAGTGATTATATTTGACCCTGGAATGAAAGTAAGCTCAGAAACAAGTAGATTTTTAGCCCTTCCAACGAGATGGATAGCTCTTGGAAAGGATAGACACTTTTCAGATTACAGCCTGTCCGAGAATTGCGTGGCATCCATTTCGTTTGGTGATTAGGACACATAGCGGTTAAACCTGGAACTTCAACTCGAACTATTCAGAGATTTATTAACTCGCTTTTGATGATACTTGCTGTTTTATGATGCGATTTTTTGTTACCTAGGGAGGAGTTGGCATAATCGTGCCTTTCACTAATTCGTACCACCCTGATGCCAGCGTTACTGGCATATAACGGGGCCCTCAGAGGGCTGTGTTTAACCTACTGAAATACTGAAACACTGAAATCTACTAAAATTTACTGAAAACTAAAATTAAAATACAAAATAAAATATGGTCAATGATGGAGGTAGACTGATTGCGTCTTTTAAAACATTCAAAACATAATAGGCATCAATAAAATTTTGGAGAAAAAAAAATCGGATTTTTTTTTTTTTTGGGGGGGGGGGGGTGGCTATTTGTAAAACGAACATCGTAATGACCTTGACCTTCCTTCATCGGCGCTCACTTGGTCCAAAACCGCACACAGAGGACCAGGCTCCGGGTGTTTTCCGGTATTTAGGATGTTTTCCGGTATTTAGTGTTTTTCCGGTGTTTTCCGGTATTCAGTATAAAATGGTGTTTTCCGGGTGTTTTCCGGTTGTTTTCCGGTGTTTTCCGGTTGTTTTTCGTTGTTTTCCGGTGTTTTCCGGTATATAGTATGGCCCCTTGCATATAGTTCAGCGGAACTAACAATGAAATGCGTGATACAAAGAGTTGATTACACGACATTAAAAATATTCACTCTTTTTTGATTAAACTTTTTCCTTATATCCCGATAAAGATAATGACTATTGTCAATCTTATATTACTACCTGGTTGAAATATTATTAACTAAAACTAGTGATATTAGGTAAAATGTCTTGGCTAGGTAATGGATGTTTAAGTGGGATATATTTATTATTTTTTGTATTCTATATGACAGGTAAGAAACGTATTTCATTATTTATTTGATATAGATTTCATATCTTCTTCATCATATTATATGCGAGAATGTAAACAAGTTATAGCATTGGCAACGGGATTACTTGTATATTCCGTAGTCTGGTGTCCGTTGTTTCCTAGCTAACATATTGCAAGTTTGTCGAATTTAGTAATTGTAATGATAAATTGCAAAACAAAATCCGGGATAAAACTTCGTAGCTCACATATATTTCCTATGACACAATAAAACAGATCTATTAACCAGTACAGAAAAACACGATGACTTTACGGATGAATATAATGACCATAATCGTATTTAAATCTGTCAACGTATTGTTCAACTTTTAAAATACAATACTTCATAACGGCAAACAAATAATTGAAAGGCTATTTTATATAATTCACTAATAACCTATATAGATTCTAGCCGTTGGTTAAATTAATATTCAACACTAGAATAGCAGGCGTGACATCATTTTGACAGAATAAACACAATTATTTGCACACTATTATTTTGTTTGTACTATCTGGCAGGTAAGAAAGTGTAAAACATTTTGAGCACCATATCTTTAAATTTCTACCTTAAAATTCATGATTAATTCTTTCCAGTGTCGTCGTGTCCTGTTCATGAGTGTGGTACACACATTGCACACGGGTATGGAGATGGTGCATGCATCAAAAATCGGTTTAATAGAAATTTTACATTTTCCACATAAAACTCACACCTGAGCAGAGATTCACACATACTAACGACGTCATTTCTGGACGTATGACAAGCTTTTAGAAGTCAGGTAAAACAGCAGTAATTAGGGGAAACCCACGTGGTATTGTAGGCAGACCACTGTTTGTCAAACTCATGACAAACTTTCATATATAAAAGACATTAGAGACTTTTGGCAAGCGGAATTTTCCCATCCATATCACGTATCCGTATCGTTTACGTGATACGTGTTGCGTCAATGTAGTTTTAGAGTTTTGGCAGATTTTCGCGTCGCGTACGTGTGCGTCGATCAGCTGAGCTTAGTTCTATTACAGCATGATGACAGATATCTACCAAGATCACCATCAATACTTGTCAAGTGCCTATTAGAGCCGAGGTATTAAAAAAAATTAATGTCGAATCTTATTTAAAATCTTCGACTCGACTGCAATTTTTGGTTTCACTAATGTATCATTTCAGAAAGTTTATACCTCTTTACCAGATTTGCAATGTCCCGCCTACCTAAATTTATCACGTAGTTCAACCATCATGGTTAAAATCACATCAAATATACACCTTCGTGTTCTAGAATACACAAAGATTCAAAAAACGCTCCGAAACAACATTTCAGCGTCTAAAAGTAGCAAAAATGACGGTAAAAGGACACGACAATGTTATACGGACCTTTTCCGTATGGAAGCTGTTCGATACGTGCTGCCGTATCCGTGTGCCGTGTCACGTATGAAAAATACACACACATTGATGACGTCACAAGCAAAATCCATACGGATACGCGATACGGACCAGAAATTTACGCTTGCCAAAAGTCTTTATTATGATGTACACCGTATCCACATACTCGGCCACCCAAGCCCACCTCGCAAAAAGAATTCGTCCTCCAAAATAAAAGTCTAATAAACTGTAAATATAATACTGACGACAATAAAAGACTATGTGGTCCGAAGCTTAATCTACAGTGGCTACTTATATGATATGAAGTGGTGACGAATGTCGTTCATTTGAGAACTCACATAGCAAGCTAACCAACATGTGTAGTATTACTGCATCTGCGAGCGTGCTCTTTTTGTTTGTACTAGCTTGAAGTATTTTAGGACTCTTATGCTGGGTGTGCGTACCTCTAATAAGTCGAAGCACAGCGCTCTCACAATATTTATTATTTAAGGAGCTTTAATCTATAAGAAACATAATTACTAATTATTTGACGTCGAACTGGGTTTATTAACGAATGAACATGATAACACAAATAAAGATATATTGAAATTATAATTAAAACATCAATTACAAATTATCTATTAATGAATAATTGAATATATACTTTTAGCATATATTATGTGACCAAGTGTAATTCTAAGCTATTTCACATTATCATATTATTATGTATAAAAGAAACATACATTAATCAATAAGCGATTATAAAGTATTATCATACTATCTGAATAAGTGTAGTAAACTATTTCGCATCATAATTTTATACATAAAATAAACATACATACTAAATGAATTATTAGGCTATAAGAAACATAAGTATTTATTATTTGACGTCGAACTGGGTTTATTAACGAATGAACATAATTGTCCGTATTTCGTCTCTTATATTTATACCCAGTCGCTATCGCCAATTTTTAAATTAAAACATCTTAATAATAATTAACTAGACATGTTTGAACATATACATGATAAGGGTTAAACATATAATACAAAATGTGATATAAATTAACATATTTACATTACTGAGACCTAACTCAAATATAGGTACATACTAAATCAATGACTAAGATGTATGTTAAGTAATATTAAGTTATTTTAAGATAGATGTTCAGAAAAGGTGAATAGATAAGACAGTGTGTTCAGATTAGAACGATCAGGGTTCGGAATAAAGATTAACTTATTCACTTTAAAGCAATTAGTTAATTTAGATAAGTAATTACATGTATATCAAAATATGTACTATAACACATCTTTCACATAAACACATAAACTTACACTCTCAAACACATCACTGCAGCAGACAGCATCTGAGATTCATCAACAAATCCACTCCATATTAGTATGTAGAGTGCTGTCGCGTAAGCTTGTTAGGTGTCATAGGACAATCTTAATCAACGACATTAAATGAATTGATATTATAATACAAGGATAACTTGGGAAGTTACCATGTTTGTTTTCCAATAACGTTTCATGATATTTTGTAATCAATTACTGCCTGAAAAATTTCAGAGAATTATGTGTACTTTTATTTGCATACCATGTATGGGCTTTTTCATTTATTGTAAAAGATATTTGATCTTATTCTGATTTAAAGGTAATTTTTATTACAGGTAGAAATGGTGGTTACTGTCAAGTATGTAACACTGGATGTCTAAATGCTGCATGTGATAACTCCACTGGTAACTGTACAGATGGTTGTATACAAGGCAGATATGGTACCAGCTGTCAATCATCATGTATAGTTACTAACTGTACAGGTAACTGTGATAGGAACACAGGACAATGTTCTAACTGTACACGGGGTTACTATGGTATGAACTGTCAACAGAGATGTAATGAGGGTTGTATAAACAGTTACTGTAACAAAGATTCTGGTGGCTGTAGAGACGGATGTAGATCAGGTTTTACTGATACTAACTGTCAATCAGCATGTATAGTTGCTAACTGTATAGGTAACTGTGATAGGAATACAGGACAATGTTCTAACTGTACACGGGGTTACTATGGTACCAACTGTCAATACAGCTGTAACAGTGGATGTATAGACAAATATTGTAATAAAGATAATGGTACCTGTACACGAGGTTGTATAAGTGGACGCTATGGCCCAACTTGTGCATCAACATGTACTAAAACTAACTGTTTTGAAAACTGTGAACGGGATACGGGAGAATGTTCTGTCTGTAAACATGGTTACCATGGTACCAACTGTCAACAGTCCTGTAACAGTGGATGTAAAGACAACTATTGTAATAAAGATACTGGTGACTGTGCCTATGGTTGTACTAACGGAACATATGGCCTCAATTGTGCATACATATGTGAAGTAACTAACTGTCTTGATAATTGTGGCCGGAATACTGGACTGTGTAGTGCATGTAAACAAGGATTCTTTGGTCCAAACTGCCAATTAACCTGCTCTGATGAATGCATTGGGGGTTGTGATAATGTCACTGGTACTTGTACAAAATGTAAACCGGAAATAGTTGGACCATATTGTAACATGTCATGTGGATCTGGGTGTGTCCAAATCGACGCAAAGTTTACAAAAACCTGTTATAGAAATGGAACATGTAATACCTGTATTGAAGGAAAACATGGTGATAGATGTGATCTGGAATGTAGTACAGGATGTGTGGCTGGATGTCGAAGAATCGATGGAAGATGCAGTAATTGTATCAAGGGTAATTTATATATCTTCAATGTGGTTTTTTAGGGGTTATTTGGGGTTTTTTTCAATTTAATAAACGAAGAATATTTTGCTATATGTACGACCACAAATTATACGCCCCCCCCCCCTCCATTAAGCCCTCAGTAACAAAGACCCCTCATATTTATTTTGTTGCTTAGGGTGGGACGAAAAACCGAGGTCCCGTGTGCAACGGTGGTTCCGTGTACAATTTGTCGTGCACGTAAACGTTAAAGATCATTTGACAGTCGGAATTTAAAATAAGAGTAGGTCCTAATGCAGCTTTCTGGGCAAAATGCCCCTCATAGCCTAGCGCATGGTGTATTCCCATCTTCATTAGGATGTTTAACCCCATTTCATTTTAATTTCATTTCATATTTATATCAGGTAAAAGTGGATCGACATGTAATAGAAACTGTGGTACTTATTGTACTGCCTGTCAACAAGATGATCCCAACGATTGTTCAGAATGTGTACCAGGGAAGACAAGAAATAATTGTGCTGAGGGTAAATACATATTTTCTAAATTGTTTATATTATTCGTCCAGATGGACTGTAATGGTTTAAATGTTGTCCAGGCGGTTTATATGTTTATATAATTATTAATTATCCTTATGATTCATATATATATATACATAGATGAGAAATCTTCCTTTGTTCTTTTCGCTGATCTGTGGGGTGTAATTTGTTTATATTATTATCCTGATGATATGTATAGTGAAAATTATTTATATTTTAGATTGTCCTGCAGGTCTGTATGGTATGGGTTGTAAGAATAAATGCGGTAACTGTGCTAACAATACACCATGTGATGTTGTTACTGGAGAATGCGGAACAGTTGGATGTTTACCAGATTTTACAGGAACAACATGTCAACAACTAAGTAAGGTCAAAATCTGACATAAGTAAACATTGGTGTTGTATGAATACAAGAGTCTATATATACCGACAAACTCCGATAAAATAAAATAAGGCCAATTAACCAACGGCCAAACAACCCCGTTGAAATACCCTCGCCAAATGCCTCGAACAATCCCCTCGAAAAAATATCCGCGAACAAATACCCTTGAACAATCACTCCTGAACAATTACCACCTAGGACAAATATCCCCCGCTAAATACTCCAAGGATAAATTCTCCCCAGGGATCAAATACTCTATATTCAAATACCCCAACACCACGAAAAACCTAGGACGAACACTCCCTGCTAAATTCGCCCCCTTCTCCCACCGCCAAATATACTCAAAAATTGCCCCCACCCCATTCCCCCGGGAAATAAAACCCACATCACCACCCCCTACCACCACCACCACCAATACCCTTCCAAATACAAATAGCGCCGAGCTAAATACCCGAGTGAAACATTTAGTGTGCTTTAGAGTTCCTAATATTTTTTCTGTGATTTTTTTATATATAGCGTTTTGGTATTCTTCGGTAATATATATCCGCTATTTTTCTTTAGTTTTCAGTGTTTCCCAGTGTTAAGTATGGTCCTGAATTTCCTCGAACAAGCTGTTTGAAATACAATTTCATGTACTCCGATCTCCCGTTATACTTTCTTGATGTATATTTATACCGATATTTTAGATGATGGATAAGTCATGCTTGTGAGATTGTTGCTTGGTTTGTTATTGTTATAACCAACGTTTTTGTATGTATATTTCAGAGACAAAAGATGAAGGAGTAAGCCCCGCCGTTGGTGGTGTTATTGGTGCTTTGTTTGGGATAGTTGTAACCACTGCTGTTTGTATTGTAGGATTCATCGTCTATATCAAAAGGTATAAAACATCCGTCTACCATATAATGCATTGGACACAACTCCTTGGAAATCATGCAGCATTTCTTTCATGTTCAAGAATGGGTAGTAATTGGGGGGTGGTAAGTCGATGTTTTACCAGGCATGAGCAAAACAACTTACAAGAATTAACAGATATGAATGGTTGTAGTTTAATGTTCAAATACTAACGTAGATATTTGTTGATTTCAGAAAATATCGAGCGGCGCAATCGCCAACAGAAGCAGGTTCATACCAAATGAACAGTCGTCCTCATGCAAGAAAAAAGTCAAAAAAATCACAAAATCATCCTTACAATTCAGCAAAACATGGAATACGTAAAGACGATCAGTCATATGCAAACTTGAATATAGCGTCAACTTCAAACCAACCACGAGATGAGACATATGTTAATTCGGAGTCTGCTCGAAAGAAAGAGGAAAATCCATACGTTAATCTACGTCATGTCTGATAAAAAATAATCTGATGTGTAGAATTATCCCCCTTTATTTTGATATTACATTTTGCTCTTTATGTAATAATATCATTGTATTATGGTGGGGTTTTTTTGTTTTTGAACACAGCTTGCATCCGATACGATTGAACTTTTCTAGCGATGTAAATGTACTAGTTTCTAAATATTGCTTTTGTTCGTTGTTTTGAGTTGTGTGGCTTTGTTGGGAAACTTTTTAAACGATTGTTTTCATAGAATGGATAGCTACATAATAAGAAGAAGTCAATTAACCGTTTACGTTTGGTAGATTGATAATAATGCTCCTTTGTTACGATATCCTTGGAGGCTACGATGGTCACCCGATTTACATTTCTTTTAATTTGTAGGACTATTGCTTCTTTTATTAATAATATAAGAGTAAGGTACCAGTTGACTTTCAACAATTTATGACGCCCAATACTGGGTTACACACCCTTTGATCAAAGTTTATCAACAATTTACTACCTAATCTTTACAATCTGTTAAAATTGTCTTCAGGAAGAGATTAATGATTTCATTGTGTTTTTACTTATAAAACTTTTTATTGGGATAATAATACGATCTTTCCTAAAGAAAAGTTAAGTCAGATGATTTTGTGTAGCTCAGGTTGTTTTATATGTTTTATCTGGAAACGATAGTAATAACGTTTCAAAGAAATTTGAATGCAAAATTTATATTGATATTTGTAGTGTTGGTATTTTTAATTATAATTATATAAAAGCAAAATAATAGTATTTAGTGTTTATACTGTATTTATTAAATTAGTTGAAGGCCTGTCTAGATTTTCAAAGTGGTATTATAGCTATTTAGTCAGTTGATATTCAGTGTCGGGGCGGTATATTAAAATAAATCATGTAAGACTTTTATATGGTTTTGGTTTCTGGAAAAACACACAGAAACTATTGAATGGTCACATACAACGTATTATTTTTTTTTTACCGATTACTAATTTTTATAGCCCGACATATTGCCGTCACCTCTGTCTGCGTGTCTGTCCTTTTGCCGTGATTTAGCTCGCATTTCTTGTACTACCAGAACCCATAGATCTTTTAAAAATAATTTATGGATTGTCTGTCTGATTGAAATGTAGAAGCCTATTGGTTTTCAACAATTTTTAATAATCACCTCCAGATCTGTGCACTTAAATTTCGCTAGGCTGCAATTATTAACATATTGTTCTTATATGTATAATGCGTTACTGTCATATTACTAGGACTACTTTTGTTAACTTTCAGTGATTTTCGATAATCAGTTCAAAAGTTAATTTTTTCGATATTGTCATGAGTTTTTTTTAGCTAATAAATATTTTGACGATTCAGTTACTGGTGTCTGTGTGCACGTTTCGTTGACTAACTATGTTTTGAAGTAAAGTTAGCAGTATCCAAGCAATCTGTTTCATAGAGGATTACGAAAGTCTTTTAATGACTCTGTAAAAGATGACCACTTTCAATACATGACGTCACATCACGCGGCGTCAATCATTGGCTCAGTGGCGTGTGCATTGTTTGTCCAGGCAGAATGGTGCCTTTTACATACCCATTTACACTAAATTGGACATAGTTTTTACTTACATATACTTCAAACACCTCTATTTATTTTTCTAATGCTCAAAGAGAATGTTCTAGAATTTGATTTTCAGAAGGAAAAATGCTAATATTGGGGGCTCATTAAGCCGCACCGATGTCATTCCTATAACTGTAGCGGCCTAGCGAATATTCAATGCCGATCAATGTGGTATCCAAGATGTATAACATAAGGATTTCATTACTTTGCTATCTGCACATATTTTGAAAGAAAACAAGCCAATTATTGTGCATCCTAATCCCATCATAAATATATTGTACTCCATCTAATTTTTTTTGCGCATTCTTTTATAATAAGGCGTCGAACCTGGGCAGTTAATGCTGATTAGGAAACTATACACTATCACTCTCACTCAATTAAACTCAGAATTATCGTGTTCCAAAGCACCGACAAATCAAAACGCTTATATCTGCTCATCATCGAACATAGTAAAGGGATTGATGTAATGAAACTACGCCGCAAGTTTCATCCCTCTCACTCAACTAGGATCAATTTTATCGTGTTCAAAAGTGTCGACCAATCAAATTGTCCATTGGCAAGAAAATGTTCGTCATAGAAATCACACAATGAACAAATTTGAACATTTAATATCAGTTACAAGCAGAGTTGTGTCGCAAAAAGGTGGTGGGTGGTGAAATCTGTTATAATAGTAAACAGAAAAGAGATGGTGTTTTCATTGATCAAAACCTGAAAGCATGGCTTTCGGGTTTCAGATGTTATGAATACAATTGATTGGCAAGTCTGAATTTTGATCGGGTTTCTCCTTATGATGAGTCAAGTAATCCCATCAAGTTTTGTAAAAACAAATATCTCAGAAAGTATAGAACCCTTTGCTAGTTTCTGTTACAAAGACAGTAACTCTGGGTGAAATCAATGCGGAACTCTGACTATCGATAGGGTTTATCCGTAGGACTAGAAATCCCGGAGTTACAGGAGTTAGTCTGCACACTAGTTTATTATACCACGCAGGAAAAGCCTTGGATCATTCCCTGCCAAAACCGGTAGCGAACCCGAGACTTCCTAGTTAGCTACCGCGGCCCCCGATCTAGTATAATACATCATCAGCGATATATACAATATGAATCATAAGGACAATAAATAATTGTAGAAACAGAGCAATCGATAATAATATAAATTCTTAAACTATTACAGACCATTTAGAATAATAACATAAACAATTTACATAATATATTTTTACCCTCAGTACAATTATTTCTTGTCCTCTGTGGTACACATTCTGAACAGGGGATTCTGATACCGTACATACAACAACAGTTTCTTAATTTATCGATTGAAATAAAACAAATAAACCCCCTGAAACACCACCTGGAAGATATCTACATTTACCTTTGATACAATTACTGCATCTTCCATCGATTCTTCGACATCCAGCCACACATCCTGTGCTACATTTCAGATCACATATATTACCATGTCTACCTTCAATACAGGTATTACATGTTCCATTTCTATAACAGGTTTCGATCAACTTCGCTTCCATTTGGACACATCCAGACCTTTAATGTCTCTGTGTGTACTTTTATAGAAATGTAATTGATGGGTTGTGAGCTTTTCAATTTATACTGCCTCAATTAAAGTGTGTCCTTTTTATTGGCCTTTGCGGAGTTCATGTGTAATGTGAAAGTTTTGGGGTGATACATGAGAGGGTGAGAGAGAGAGAGAGAAGAGAGAGAGAGAGAGAGAGAGAGGGGGGACTTATAGACTTGTTTATTTGGTTCCTAACTAATATATTGCAAGTTAGTCGAATTTCAGTAATTGTAATGATGAATTGCAAATGCCAAAACCGCACCCCGAAAGTGGCCCATACACGCACAAACTTTTTCATAAATAGTATTGATCTCAATAGTATTGATGGTTTGCTCAAAAAAAAATACTACAACTTCTCCGTCAATATACTGACGTCAATACTTTTAGCCTGCCAATATCACCCATAGACGTTCAAAAGAACGTCAAATAATCTGACTTCAATACCATTCAATACCTATGACATAATAACAGGCCATTAACCAATACAGAATAACACGATGACTTTACAGGTGAATATAATGACCATAATCATATTTAAATCTGTCAACTTATTATTCAACTTTTAAAATACAATACTTTATAATGCCACAACAAATAATTGAAAGGCTATTTTATATAATTCACTAATAATCTATATTCTATCCTTTAGTTCAGTTTACATTCGCCATTAACATAATATAAGGCGTGACTGTGTGTGAAAGGACTTTTTTAAACTCGAGTCATGTATATCGACAATGCACCCATTATGAAATATTGATAAATCTGTTTTCTGCATACAATTTGTGACAGAATGTATGCAATTATTAAACCATGATAAACCACAATAATTTTCTTCCTTGTTGCGAAATGGTAATAATTGGGACTAAATAACTTTGTCACGTTTAGCCAATGTTCGATCTATAAAATGGCTTGTCTAGGTATTGGAAGCTTTGGCATACTATTTTTATTATTCTATTTCTATTATATGACAGGTAAGAAACTATGAGATATTTTAAGCTCCATATCCTTGAATTATTATGTTAAAATGCTTTATTCTTACCATTACATGTACTTGATCTCGTCGTGTAGTAGTAGTACACAGATTGCAAAAGGGTGTGTGTAGCAATTTTACATTTTCCATATAAAGCTCAAAGTTCACAAAGAAGGGAGAGACACTGACACTAACGATATCATTTCCGGACGTATATGTATGGTTCACATAAGTTTATTTTAGAAGTCAGAGAAAACAGTAGTTTTCGGGGGAAAACAAACAAGGTATTATAGGCACCCCACTCCTTGTCAACCTCAAACATAAAATATCTTATGATGTACAATGTATTCAATGTACTCGGCCACCCAAGCTCGCCATGAAAAATAATTGTCATTTACTTTTTGTAATTTTCAACCAAGTCAATTTTAATATAATTAATTTAGTTTTTTGCCATTTTCACGCAAGTCAATTATAATTTTCACCCAAGTGATTAAACATAGAATTTGTTTTTCTTAATTTTCACACCAGTCAATTGTAATATACGGAAGCGTATAGAAGACCTCGAGATCATGCGATCTTGTGATACTTTCTCGAGAACTCAATTTAATGTTCTCGAAATTCCCTAATAATTTTCTCGAGAATCTCCCATACCGTGTTAAAGATCTCGAGAATTCGAGTTAATGTTCTCGGGATCTTGCCATCCTGTATAAATTTTCTCGAGATCTCGGGTATTTTTATGTGTACGCGTAGTTTTAACGTATTAACCCCCCCACACACACACACACACACACCCACACCCACACACACCATACACACACACACAAAACCATAATAGCACGATAGAGCCTACAGTTTTTAACTGATTTTGTTTTTCAAATGTGGTGTGAAGCACTAGGACCTTTCGATTTTCAGTACTCCGTAAACTTCTGTTCGAAGGTTACCATCTTTGTCCGTATTTTTTTTCAAATATTATTTGACGATGAGAGGACGAATCCTATCGTTATTCAGCATTTTGTGACCTTCCTTAATATACCCCCCCCCCCCGCTCCCTGAAAGCCTTGTTCGCGTCATAGAGGCTTCACTTTTACAATTTTGTGTGAAGCTTTGGAGTCGTGAAATTTATCGATATTCAATGGTTAGCGACCTTCGTTTCCGGAGTTATACTCTCCATTCTTTGAAAACCTTGTTTTTAACGGAGTTTCGATATTCGGTGTTCCGCGACAAGGATGACCCCTGTTAATTTTCAGCAATATAAGATTTCTGTCCTAGCGATATAACAAGCACGTGAACACGATAGAGATTAGATTTATTGATGAATACTAGATCCTTATTCAATTTATTAAACAACCAAGTTTTCCTTTCGAATAATCTGCTGTTGAGGCATAGATGCTGCGTGGGCGAGGAATAGATGCTGCGTGGGCGTATCTCCACACTCTGTGTGGCTATCGTTCAAATTTCTTTTGAATCATTAGTGTCACAAGCAGAGGAACCCAATTTATTTTCGGCGGAACAATGAACCTTATTGATTTGCAGCGCCCCCTTGTGAACGCGTTAGAGCCCAGAGTTTTTCAAGACTTTTTATTTAAAATCTGCTCCGAAGCATTTGTGCCACAAGACAATAAACTCTGTGTCTAACTTTAATCTAAAACAAAATATGGTCTGAAAACCATGCAAAAAAATGACATATTCTACTAAACGTCGCCCTAAACATTAAATTGAAATAATTTAATACGCATGTCTGTAATTCAAAGCTTCACACATTAAAGCTAACTTTTGAAATTTCATATTTGGTGTGAAGTATTGGGGCCATAAGACGATGAGACCTATCGATTTTAATCATATTTCAAATTTAGTGTGAATTATGGGTACACTATCAGCCACCCCTACGGAAGCGTATAGGGGTCATGCAAAATTTTGTAGACGGTCTCGAGATCCTGCGATCCTGTGATACTTTCTCGAAATCCCGTGATCACCTGGTAATTTTCTCGAGATCTCAATTTAATGTTCTCGAAATCCCCTGATAATTTTCCTGAGATATTGACATCCTGTGTAAATTTTCTCGAGAACTCAATGTTCTCGAGATATTGACATCCTATGTAAATTTTCTCGAGATCCCGAGTTAATATGAAACCTTATATGGTAGTGTCTCCACGTTGTGAAACAACCATTGTTCCAATACTTCGCACCAAATTTGATAACAAAAAAATACTCTAACATTTGTTACAAAGGAAAACTGCTAACTAATGAAAGAATAAGCGGACAATCGATAGGGTACCCATGATTTACACTAAATTTGAAATATGATTAAAATCGATAGGGTTCATCGTTTTATGGCCCCAATACTTCACACCAAATATGAAATTCAAAACCCTACCACGTTAGCTTTAATGTGGGGAGCTTTGAATTACAGACATGCTTGTTAAATTATTTCAATTTAATGTGTGGGCGACGTTTAATTGAAAATGTCATTTTTGTATGGTTTTCGGACCATATTTTGTTTTAGAATAAAGCTAGGCAGAGAGTTTATTGTCTTGTAGTACAAATGCTTCGGAGCAGATTTTAAATAAAAAATCTTGAAAAACTCTGGGCTCTAACGCGTTCACAAGCTTTACCGGAAAATAGGAATAACCCTATAACAAAACCTCAGGGAGCGCTGCAAATCAATAAGGTTCATTGTTCCGCCGAAAATAAATAGGGTTCCTCTGCTTGTGACACTAATGATTCAAATCTTGAAAAATTCTGGGCTCTAACGCGTTCACAAGGTTTACCGGAAAATAGGAATAACGCTATAACAAAACATCAGGGAGCGCTGCAAATCAATAAGGTTCATTGTTCCGCCCAAAATAAATAGGGTTCCTCTGCTTGTGACACTAATGATTCAAGGAAATTTGAACGATAGCCACCCAGCATCTATGCCTCAACAGTGTCAGCAGATTATTCAAAAGGAAAACTTGGTTGTTTAATGAACTGAATAAGGATCTAGCATCCATCAAAAAATCTAATCTCTATCGTGTTCACGTGCTTGTTATATCTCTGGGACAGAAATCTTATATTGCTGAAAATTAACAGGGTCATCCTTGTCCGGAACACTGAATATCGAAAATACGTTAAAAACAAGGTATTCAAAGAATGGAGAGTATAACGCCGGAATAGAAGATCGCTAACTATTGAATATCAATAAAGTTCATCACAATGCTTCACACAAAATTGTAAAAGTGAAGCCTCTATGACGTGAACAAGGCTTTCAGAGAGCTGGCGGAGGGGGTTGGGGGTATATTAAGGAACAGAAGGTCACAGAATGCTGAATATCATTAGGGTTCGTCCTCTCATCGTCACATAATATTTGAAAAACAAAAATACGGACAAAGAGGGTAACCTTCGAACAGAAGTTTGCGGAGTACTGAAAATCAACAGGTCCTAGTGCTTCACACCACATTTGAAAAACCAAATCAGTCAAAAACTGTAGCCTCTATTGCGTTAACAAGTTTTTCGGAAAAGGGAGATAACTCAAGAACGACAAGGTGCGCTAGAAGCGACCGAGACCGTCTTCTCGTGACCCTAATGCTTTACATTGAATTTGAAACAAATCCGGTAAAAACTGTAAGCTCTATCGTGCTATTAAGGTTTTCGGGAAAGTGTGTGTGTGTGTGTGAGTGGGGGGGGGGGGCTAAATACGTTAATACGTTAAAACTACGTGCACACATAAAAATACCCGAGATCTCGAGAAAATTTACATAGGATCGCAAGATCCCGAGAACATTAACTCGAATTCTTGAGATCTTTAAGACGGGATGGGAGATTCTCAAAAAAAAATTATTATGGGATTTCGAGAACATTAAATTGAGTTCTCGAGAAAGTATCACAAGATCGCTGGATCTCGAGGTCTTCTACAAAATTTTGCATGACCCCTATACGCTTCCGTAGCCATCGCATCATAGAGCAATTTAAAACCTTATCCATCAACATTAAAATGAAAATAAAGTTAAAAGTGTACTTTTATAGAAAACATTTTTTATGAATTGATAATAGTAATACAAGGATGACTAGTTACCATGTTTATTTTCCAAAGATCTGTCATGATATGTTTGTAATCAATAACTGCAGGTCTTGCACATGACAAATTTCGGGGAATTGCGCATACTTTTATTTGCTTACCACATATGCTTTTTTATTTATGTTGAAAAGTAATAAGATCTTCTCCTGATTTCACGGTGGGTGTTATTACAGGTAGATATGGTGTTTACTGTCAACAAGTATGTAGCACTGGATGTCGAAATACTGCATGTGATAACTCCACTGGTATCTGTACAGGTGGATGTTTGCCAGGCTTTACAGGAAGCAGGTGCAATGATTGTATACAAGGCAGATATGGTTCCAACTGTCAATCATCATGTATAGTCACCAACTGTATAGGTAACTGTAACACGACAATAGGACAGTGTTCTAACTGTACACAGGGTTACTATGATACCAACTGTCAACAGTCTTGTAACAGTGGATGTAAAGACAACTATTGTAATAAAGATACCAGTGTCTGTACACGAGGTTGTATAAGTCGACGCTATGGTCCAACTTGTGCATCATCATGTACTATAACTAACTGTATTGATAACTGTGAACGGGATACGGGAGAATGTTCTGTCTGTACACAAGGTTTCTATGGTACCAACTGTCAACAGTCCTGTAACAGTGGATGTATAGACAACTATTGTAAGAAAGATACTGGTGACTGTGCCTATGGTTGTACTAACGGAAAATATGGTTCCAATTGTGCATCCACGTGTGAAGTAACTAACTGTCTTGATAATTGTGGCCGGAATACTGGACTGTGTAGTGCATGCAAACAGAGATTCTTTGGTCCAAACTGCCAATTACCCTGCTCTGATGAATGCAATGGGGGTTGTGATAATGTCACTGGTATTTGTACTAAATGTAAACCTGAAAGAGTTGGGCCATATTGTAACATGTCATGTGGATCTGGGTGTGTCCAAATTGAAGCGAAGTTTATAAAAACCTGTTATAGAAATGGAACATGTAATACCTGTATTGAAGGAAGACATGGTGATAGATGTGATCTGAAATGTAGTACAGGATGTGTGGCTGGATGTCGAAGAATCGGTGGAAGATGCAGTAATTGTATCAAGGGTAATTTATATATCTTCAAGGTGGTTGTTTAGGGGTTATTTGGTTTTTGTCAATTTGATAAACGAAGAATATTTTGTTATATGTACGACCACAAATTATACGCCCCCCCCCCCCCTCCATTAAGCCCTCAGTAACAAAGACCCCTCATATTTATTTTGTTGCTCAGGGTGGGACGAAAAACCGAGTTCCCGTGTACACCCGAGGTTCCGTGTACAAATTGTCGTGCACGTAAACGTTAAAGATCATTTGACAGTCGGAATTTAAAATAAGAGTAGGTCGTAATGCCCCTCATAACATAGCGCATGGTGTATTCCCATCTTCATTAGGATGTTTAACCCCATTTCATTTTAATTTCATTTCATATTTATATTAGGTAAAAGTGGATCGACATGTAATAGAAACTGTGGTATTTATTGTACTGCCTGTCAACAAGATGATCACAACGATTGTTCAGAATGTGTACCAGGGAAGACAAGTAATAATTGTACGGCAGGTAAATATATTATGTAAATTGTTTATATTATCTAGATTGTATGTAATGGTTTAAATGTTAATATCATTCTAGATTGCCCTGGTAGTTTATATGTTTATATAATTATTAATTGTCCTTATGATTCATATATATATATATATATATATATATATATATATATATATATATTACTTATGTATTGTTCCAGATCGGGAGCCGATGTGGCTCAGTGAATAAGACACTGGCACGCTAACTAGGAAATCTCTGATTCGATGCCGTTGATGAACGAGCAAGTTTCTCGGTTTTTATCCGAAGCGGATTTACTCTTGTCAGTGGTGCAGGACGGAGGATGTACACATTGACGTGTACGTAAAAGAGCCCTTGACAGTTGGAATTGGAAATAAGAGTAGGCCGTAGCGCCGCCTTCAGGGACAAATTTTCCCCATGGCACATTGTATGGCGTGGGCCCGTCTTCTAGCCAAGTCAGTACAGAAAAGCAGGACCTTAAATTTAACCTTTTCATTTCATTTCATTATTCTACATTGTTGGTTCATGGTTATTTTACTATTACATCTATTGTAACATAGCTGAGAAATCTTCCTTTGTTCTTTTCGTTGAATAAGCAGATTGTTTTCCCTCTAGTAGATTGGGTGGAGCTTAACCGTGCAATAACTAGACATGTTCAATGTTGTTGCACAATTTTGCTACTTTACACTAGTTTTAGTAGAAATCATATAGAGAAGTGGGGAGGGTTTTCTGTGGAATAACAATAAGCATGTTGAGCAGTTGTCAATGTTACAAGTCATTTATAGCACGCTTCATTCGTTAACAGGTTTAACCCCTCGGCCGTCGGCCTCTGGTTTAAACCTGTTAACTCATGCTATAAATATAACTTATTCTTTATGGTGTAAATTATAGTATTATTCTGATGATCTGTGGGGTGTAATTTGTTTATATTATTATTCTGCTGATATGTATAGTGTAAATTGTTTATATTATTATTTTAGATTGTCCTGCAGGTCTGTATGGTATGGGTTGTAAGAATAAATGCGGTAACTGTGCTAACAATACACCATGTGATGTTGTTACTGGAGAATGCGGAACAGTTGGATGTTTGCCAGATTTTACAGGAACAACATGTCAACAAATAAGTAAGGTCAAAATCTGACATAAGTAAACATTGAGCTTGTATGAATACGAGAGTCAATTTAAACCGACAAACTCCGATAAAATCAAATAAGGCCAATTAACCAACGGCCAAACAACCCCGTTGAAATACCCCCGCCAAATGCCTCGAACAATTCCCCTCGAAAAAATATCCACGAACAAATACCCCTAAACAATAACTCCCAAGGACATATACCCCTGAACAAATATCCCCCGCTAAATACTCCAAGGATAAATTCTCCCCAGGGATGAAATACTCTATATTCAAATACCCCAACACCACGAAAAACCTAGGACGAACACTCCCTGCCAAATACGCCCCCTTCCCCTACTGCCAAATATGCTCAAAAATTGCCCCCCACCCCCTGGACATAAAACCCACATCACCCCGCCCCCCTCCAAATACAAATAGCGCCGAGCTAAATACCCTTGTGAAACATTTAGTGTGCTTAAGAGTCCATAATATTTTTTCTGTGATTTTTTGATATATAACGTTTTGGTATTTTTCGGTAATATCCGCTATTTTTCTTTAATTTTCAGTGTTTCCCAGTGTTAAGTATGGTCCTGAATTTCCTCGAACAAGCTGTTTGAAATAAAATTTCCTGAAATCCGAACTCCCGTTATACTTTCTTGATCATGTTTATATCGATATTTCAGATGATGGGTAAGACATGCTGCTGGTGGTGAGATTGTTGCTCCATTTGTTATTGTTATAACCAACGTTTTTGTATGTATATTTCAGAGACAAAAGATGAAGGAGTAAGCCCCGCTGTTGGTGGTGTTATTGGTGCTTTGTTCGGGATAGTTGTAGCCACTGTTGTTTGTGTTGTAGGATTCATCTTCTATATCAAAAGGTATAAAACATCCGTCTACCCTATAATGCATTGGATACAACTCCTTGGAAATCAGCATTTGTTACATGTTCAAGAATGGGTAGTAATTGGGGTGATAAGTCGATGTTTTACCAGACATGAACAAACCAGCTTACAAGAATTATCAGATATGAATGGTTGTAGTTTAATGTTCAAATACTAACGTAGATATTTGTTAATTTCAGAAAATATCGAGCGGCGCCATCGCCAACAGAAGCAGGTTCATACCAAATGAACAGTCGTCCTCAAGCAAGAAAAAAGTCAAAGCAATCAAAAAATCATCCTTACAATTCAGCAAAACATGGATTACGTCAAGACGATCAGACATATGCAAACTTGAATATAGCGTCAACTTCAAACCAACCACGAGATGAGACATATGTTAATTCGGAGTCTGCTCGAAAGAAAGAGGCAAATCCATACGTTAATGGAAGTCATGTCTGATCAAAATAATCTGATGTGTAGAATTATCCCCTTTATTTTGATACTACATTTTGCTCTTCATGTAATAATATCATTGTATTATGGGGTTTTTTTTGTTTTTGTTTTTGAACACAGCTTGCATCCGATACGATTGAAATTTTCTAGCGATGTAAATGTAGAACGCTACTAGTTTCTAAATATTGCTTTTGTTCGTTGTTTGAGTTATGTGGCTTTGTTGCGAAACTTTTTAAACGATTGTTTTCATAGAATGGATAACTACATAATAAGAAGAAGTCAATTAACCTTTAACGTTTGGTAGATTGATTATAATGCTCCTTTGTTACGATATCCTTAGAGGCTACGATGGTCACCCGATTTACATTTTTTTAATTTGTAGGACTATTGCTTCTTTTATTAATAATATAAGGATAAGGTGCCAATTGACTTTCAACAGTTTATGACGCCCAATACTGGGTTACACCCCTTTGATCAATGCTTATCAACAATTTACTACCTAATCTTTAAAATCTGTTAAAATTGTCTTGAGGAAGAGATTACTGATTTCATTGGGTTTTTACTTTATATTATAAAACTTTTTATTGGGATAATAATACGATCTTTTCTAAAGAATAGTTAAGTCAGATGATTTTGTGTAGCTCAGGTTGTTTTATATGTTTTATCTGAAAAAGATAGTAATAACGTTTCAAAGAAATTTGAATGCAAAATTTATATTGATATTTGTAGTGTTGGTATTTATAATTATAATTATATAAAAGCAAAATAATAGTATTTAGTGTTTATACTGTATTTATTAAATTAGTTGAAGACCTGTCTAGATTTTCAAAGTGGTATTATAGCTATTTAGTCAGTTGATATTCAGTGTCGGGGCGGTATATTAAAATAAATCATGTAAGACTTTTATATGGTTTTGGTTTCTGGAAAAACACACAGAAACCATTGAATGGTCACATACAACGTATTATTTTTTTTTTACAGATTACTAAATTTTATAGCCCGACATATTGCCGTCACCTCTGTCTGTGTGTCTGTCCTTTTGCCGTGATTTAGCTCGCATTTCTTGTACTACCAGAACCCATAGATCTTTTAAAAATAATTTATGGATTGTCTGTCTGATTGAAATGTAGAAGCCTATTGATTTTCAACAATTTTTAATAACCACCTCCAGTTCTGTGCATCGATAATCAGTTCAAAAGTTAATTTTTTCGATATTGTCATGAGTTTTTTTTAGCTAATAAATATTTTGACGACTCAGTTACTGGTGTCTGTGTGCACGTTTCGTTGACTAACTATGTTTTGAAGTAAAGTTAGCAGTATCCAAGCAATCTGTTTCATAGAGGATTACGAAAGTCTTTTAATGACTCTGTAAAAGATGACCACTTTCAATACATGACGTCACATCACGCGGCGTCAATCATTGGCTCAGTGGCGTGTGCATTGTTTGTCCGGGCAGAATGGTGCCTTTTACATACCCATTTACACTAAATAGGACATAGTTTTTACTTACATATACTTCAAACACCTCTATTTATTTTTCTAATGCTCAAAGAGAATGTTCTAGAATTTGATTTTCAGAAGGAAAAATGCTAATATTGGGGGCTCATTAAGCCGCACCGATGGCATTCCTATAACTGTAGCGGCCTAGCGAATATTCAATGCCGATCAATGTGGTATCCAAGATGTATAACATAAGGTTTTCATTACTTTGCTATCTGCACATATTTTGAAAGAAAACAAGCCAATTATTGTGCATCCTAATTGTACTCCATTTAATTTTTTTTGCGCATTCTTTTATAATAAGGCGTCGAACCTGGGCAGTTAATGCTGATTATGAAACTATACACTATCACTCTCACTCAATTAAACTCAGAATTATCGTGTTCCAAAGCACCGACAAATCAAATCGCTTATATCTGCTCATCATCGAACATAGTAAAGGGATTGCTGTAATGAAACTACGCCGCAAGTTTCATCCCTCTCACACAACTAGGATCAATTTTATCGTGTTCAAAAGTGTCGACCAATCAAATTGTCCATTGGCAAGAAAATGTTCGTCATAGAAATCACACAATGAACAAATTTGAACATTTAATCTCAGTTACAAGCAGAGTTGTGTCGCAAAAAGGTGGTGGGTGGTGAAATCTGTTATAATAGTAAACAGAAAAGAGATGGTGTTTTCATTGATCAAAACCTTAAAGCATGGCTTTCGGGTTTCAGATGTTATGAATACAATTGATTGGCAAGTCTGAATTTGGATCGGGTTTCTCCTTATGATCAGTCAAGTAATCCCATCAAGTTTTGTAAAAACAAATATCTCAGAAAGTATAGAACCCTTTGCTAGTTTCTGTTACAAAGACAGTAACTCTGGGTGAAATCAATGCGGAACTCTGACTATCGATAGGGTTTATCCGTAGGACTAGAAATCCCGGAGTTACAGGGGTTAGTCTGCACACTAGTTTATTATACCACGCAGGAAAAAGCCTTGGATCATTCCCTGCCAAAACCGGTAGCGAACCCGAGACTTCCTAGATAGCTACCGCGGCCCCCGATCTAGAATAATACATCATCAGCGATATATACAATATGAATCATAAGAACAATTAATAATTGTAGAAACAGAGCAATCGATGATAATATCAATACTTAAACTACTACAGACCATCTAGAATAATAACATAAACAATTTACTTAATATATTTTTACACTCAGTACAATTATTTCTTGTCCTCCGTGGTACACATTCTGAACAATCGTTGGGATCATCCTGTAGACAGACCGTACAATATGTACCACAGTTTATATTACATGTCGATCCACTTTTACCTAAAATAAATATGAGGGGATTCTGATACCGTACATACAACAGTTTCTTAATTTATCAGATTGAAATAAAACAAATAAACCCCCTGAAACACCACCTGGAAGATATCTACATTTACCTTTGATACAATTACTGCATCTTCCATCAATTCTTAGACATCCAACCACACATCCTTCACTACATTTCAGATCACATCTATCACCATGTCTTCCTTCAATACAGGTATTACATGTTCCATTTCTATAACAGGTTTTTGTAAACTTTGCATCGATTTGGACACATCCAGATCCACATGGCATGTTACAATATGGTCCAACTATTTCAGGTTTACATTTAGTACAAGTACCAGTGACATTATCACAACCCCCAATACATTCATCAGAGCAGGGTAATTGGCAGTTTGGACCAAATAATCCGTGTTTACATGCACTACACAGTCCAGTATTCCGGCCACAATTAACAAGACAATTAGTTACTTCACATGTGGATGCACAATTGGGACCATATGTTCCGTTAGTACAACCATAGGTACAGTCACCAGTATCTTTATTACAAAAGTTGTCTTTACATCCACTGTTACAGTACTGTTAACAGTTGGTACTATAGTAACCTTCTTTACAGACAGAACATTCTCCCGTATCCCGTTCACAGTTATCAATACACCTAGTTATAGTACATGTTGATGCACAAGTTGGGCCATAGCGTCCTTTTATACAACCTCGTGTACAGACACTGGTATCTTTATTACAATAGCTGTCTATACATCCACTGTTACAGCTGTATCGACAGTTGGTACCACGATGGCCTTGTGTACAGCTAGAGCATTGTCCTGTATTCCTATCACAGTTACCGTTACAGTTAGTTATAGTACATGCTGATGCACAAGTTGGGCCATAGCGTCCACTTATACAACCTCGTGTACAGACACTGGTATCTTTATTACAATAGTTGTCTTTACATCCACTGTTACAGGACTGTTGACAGTTGGTACCATAGTAACCCTGTGTACAGTTAGAACTGTACAGATACCAGTGGAGTTATCACATGCAGTATTTCGACATCCAGTGCTACATACTTGTTGACAGTAAACACCATATCTACCTGTAATAACATCCATCATGAAATCAGGAGAAGATCTTATTACTTTTCAACATAAATAAAAAAGCATATGTGGTAAGCAAATAAAAGTACAGCGATCCTGTGATACTTTCTCGAGAACTCAATTTAATGTTCTCGAAATCCCATAATAATTTTTTTTGAGAATCTCCCATCCCGTCTTAAAGATCTCGAGAATTCGAGTTAATGTTCTCGGGATCTTGCGATCCTATGTAAATTTTCTCGAGATCTCGGGTATTTTTATGTGTGCACGTAGTTTTAACGTATTAACGTATTTAGCCCCCCCCCCCTCACACACACACACACTTTCCCGAAAACCTTAATAGCACGATAGAGCTTACAGCTTACAAATTCAATGTAAAGCATTAGGGTCACGAGAAGACGGTCTCGCTTGCTTCTAGCGCACCTTGTCGTTCTTGAGTTATCTCCCTTTTCCGAAAAACTTGTTAACGCAATAGAGGCTACAGTTTTTGACTGATTTGGTTTTTCAAATGTGGTGTGAAGCACTAGGACCTGTTGATTTTCAGTACTCCGCAAACTTCTGTTCGAAGGTTACCCTCTTTGTCCGTATTTTTGTTTTTCAAATATTATGTGACGATGAGAG